AACATCAGACTCAAAACAGAATTCAGTTACTATTAGTTGGGTGACTCAGGACAAGTTACTTAAAATTTTTAAACAATGATTTCTCAGTTTAAAAATATGGGTAATACCTGACTTGAAGAATGGAAATACATATGGAATATGCCCATGGAAGTGCCTGGCACATAGTAGACAATAAGTGGAAGTTAATTTTGTCACCACAGTCTAAAACTGCCATAATTCCTTCTCTGGGCCTGCAACATATTTCTCCTCTGGATGGCAGCAACTGCGTACTGAGGCACCTTTAGACCAACAGGAGGGAAAGAATTTTAGAGTGGGAAAGGATCTATGATTTAGTAACTCAAAATTTCATTTCAGAGGTGATGAAACAGGGATCCAGCAACAGCTAGCTAGTGATAATTCTAAGATTATCCCTGGGAGATCACAGATTTTGTTTAAAAGGATTTTACTCTTGGTTTTGTTTGGGAGGCAAAAGAAATGTTTCTGAGCATAAAAAGTAGCTCTGAGAATGGCTGTCAAAAAGGATGCTTGTTGTTTTTATACTTTATATTTTAGGCAGTAAAACTTATTTTCATCCTTTTCCTTTACGTATATTAATCAAACAATTTCAAGGTGAAAATATGCTATTTTGAGAGACAGAGTCTTCGATTCAACAAATACGGTGTGAGCCCTGGCCCTGACACTGAATAAGCCCAGGCTAGTTACCCACTCTCTGAATCCGTTTCCTTATCTTTGAAATGAAAATTGTACTTACTTTGCAAGGGTTGCCATGAGGATTAGAAATAACATATGTAAATGCATCTAGCCAGGTCCAAGCACACAGTAAGTTCTCAATACCATTATTATTCGCTAACATTTTATAAGTTCTGGCTATGTGTGTAAGGACTTAACCTGAACTATCTCATTTTATCCTTACAATAGCCCTCTGAGCCAAGTACTGTTATTGATCCTCGTTTATCCAGAACATTAAATTGCTCATAAGTGGTGGAGTTGGAGTTCACACTCCAGCAGTCTGACACCAGTCTGTGGTCCTAACCCTGGACTGGCTTGCCTCTATTGGCAAGTGTTTTTATCCTTGACCAGGGAATTTAATGTGTTAGGCTTTAGTGCTCAGAAACAAAGAAATGGGAGCACATTTTAATTTATACACAGGCACTGTGCTAGACTATTTCAAAACAATTGACTGCTACTGTTTAACCCAGCAGTTCTCAACCTGTGGGTCGCGACCCCTTTGGAGGTCGAACGACCCTTTCACAGGGGTCACCTAAGAACATCGGAAAACACATTTATAATTACATATTGTTTTTGTGATTAATCACTATGCTTTAATTATGTTCAATTTGTAACAATGAAAATACATCCTGCATATCAGATATTTACATTACGATTCATAACAGTAGCAAAGTTACAGTTATGAAGTAGCAACGAAAATAATTTTATGGTTGGGGGTCACCACAACATGGGTTGCAGCTTTAGGAAGGTTGAGAACCACTGGTTTAACCACTGTCTTTATTACCTCTAAGGATTCATAGTTTTCTAGAACTCACAGATTTATTTTGCAGTATATTGTGCAGCTCTTACGTTGCAGGGTTCTATATTACTGCTCTTTAAAGGCAGATATCTCAATGTTTACAGAAGAAACAATCGGATGCTAGGTCGACAGATGAAAACTTTGCTTAGGAACTTTCATTTTGAAAAGTTAATAATGGACAAACATTAACTTATTCAATAAGTTAAAATACTTTTTTCATTAAAGAGGCTTTAAAAAAAAATCCTCACCAGAGGATATGTATGTTGATTTTAGAGATAGAAGGGGAAGTTGAGGGGAGGGGGCAAAGAGAAACAGAAAAATATCGGTCAGTTGCCTCCCGTATGCGCCTGACGGGGATTGAACCTGAAACCTACGTATGTGCCCTGACCAGGAATCAATCGAACCTGTAACCTTTTGATGTGCTGGAAGCCTCCCAACCAACTGAGCCACCCAGCCTGGGCAAGAGGCATTTTTGTGATACTTTTTTAAAGTTTATTGGAAAGAGAGAGGCAGTGAGGGAGGATTATCAGAGAAAAGCAACATTGAGGGAAGGCTAAAGAGTCTATAACATATCTCTCATAAATATATAAAATCTAAAATCTTGGAATTGGAAAGAACTTAGAGATCATTTAAGTCTAACCTTGGACTCATTTTATAGAGAAGGAAACCACCCCCAGAGAGGGGAAGTGTCTTGTACAAGGATAGCACTCAGATTTCTTAACTCTCAAATGATAATAAATTATTAATTATAAATTACTATATATAACTTGTTTGATAGGATCTTTCGGTAGCAAGCTGCAGAAGAGTCATATTTGTGTCTGTCTTGGGCAGTTTCAGAATCCCCACTCCATGTCTGATCCCTATAATTCAGTGTGGTATGTATTTGACACAGACTTGGTCTGGCAGTGAGGAAACAACATTCATTTTCAATCTTGGGTGTCAGCATAATTTGATATATAACACTGCAGTCAATTGTACCCTGAGAAGCTTTAAAAGGAAGGTATTCCAAGAATTGGTATTAGTGTGAAAAAATAAGTGTTTTGCTCCTCTTTCACTTTTTCACACATCCACAGTTCTTGGGAGTAAAATCAGGATCAAATACTGGTGGGCCAAGGAAGGGAGGCATTTTAATAGTGAGAAGAGCACATACAAATGCCAAGAGGTTTGAGACTTCACAGAGTGTTCAGGATCCTTTGAGAGAGCCAGACCTACTCTAATCTGTGCACCTTCGGACTTTAGCTTCAAAACAGTGGGGGCCTGGCTGGTGTGGCTCAGTGGTTGAGCATTGACCCATGAACCAGGAGGTCATGGTCCAATTCCCTGATCAGGGCACATGCCCAGGTTTCAGGCTTGATCCCCAGTAGGGGGTGTGTAGGAGGCGGCCCATAGATAATTCTCTCTCATCATTGATGTTTCTCTCTCTCACTCTCCCTTCCTCTCTGAAATCAATAATAACTATTTTTAAAAAAGATAGTGGTGAACTATTGAAGGATTTAGAACAGGGTTTAGGGCAGGATTTAAAGCCTGAATATAGTTGCTTTTAAGTATTTTTATCACACAACAACATCTGAATACGTTCTTATATAAATTCAAATACTAAATCTAAAAGCCGAAGTTCTCCTTTACTACTCCTAACATCCCCAGTTTCTCCCCAGAGGTAACCACTGTTCTGTTTGTTGTGTATACATGCATTCAAGATATATCTAGGATTATTGTGCATGTGTGTTTTAAAACAAATCCTGTCAAGAGATCAATTTGAGGACTAGAGCATGGGGTTAGGCAATTCTGACAGCCAGCTGGCCATCTGTTTACTTTGTTTAGTATTTGCAGAATATTTTATGAACATTCCAGTTTTTAAGTGAAATTCTCACACAGGGATTGGTGCTGTGGGAACCATCTGGCAGACCCAGCCACGACAGCTGCAAACCCTCACAGCCTTAAACACCAGGTCTGTCTGTGCTGTGGCCTGCCCTGGATCAAAAGTTTGTTCTTTGCAGTTGTGCAATTACAGGACAGCTGAAATTCACAGATATTACAGGTTCCTCATTCGGATTAGGGAACAGAAAATGTGCTTGCCATGTACTCTGGAGTAACTGAGGGTCCAAACATGACCGTGGGGTCCTTTTGTAAGGGAAACAAAACATTTTGAGTTTGACCTTTTACATTTTAAAAAGTATATATATATAACAAAACATAATTACATGGTGAAGTGGTTTTTCATTATCAAGTCAAGTTAAACATTATTATTACCAAACTAACAGAATAAGGATTTCTAATATATTTGGGCATATATATTAAGGCTGTTACTAAAGTGAGGTCTGGGTATGGGATCTAAGGACTACAGTTTTGGAAATATATATGGATAGATTTATTTATTCTCTCTTTAATTCATTCAATATCCTTTTAGTGCCTATTGTGAGCCTGATCATTTGCTAAGGTACTGGTTGAATCACTCTGCCCCTTTTCCCCCTTTTCCCTAAATTAAAGCTCCCCACACAGCTGGACAGATAAATAATGTGATGAGCACCCATAATGGGTTTACATACAACCAATGATTTGCCAGTTCATTAAACTAATCCAAAGTTTAAAAATCTTCAATGGGAACATGACCTGCACACCTATGTGGTTGGTGCTTATAATAAAAGGCTGCTTCCTATGACTGACTTGAAATTCCAAAAGAGGGGATGGGGGCAGGAGTGTTGCAAATGTGTTACTATGCCCTTGGGAAATGTTATTGGAATTCGTCCAAGTTCTACACTGGGACCCAAAGCTCCTGAGAGGGCAGAGGTCATAACTAAGGATGCAATTTACTAGGATTCTCCCCTAACCTAAATCCCATAAACAGTTGCCTGGCGTAAAGGTAAAATCCAAAGGCATTTAAACAGAGTACAAGCTGTTATTCAATCTTATTCTTTCAGCAAATATTTTACTCAAAAAGTCGTGGCATCTGCAACATCTTGCTTAAGAAAAATGATGATAAATATATCAATATTCTGTATTTAAGGGAAAGTGGCGAAGGAGCGGTTCCCAGAAAGACCTCAGAACGTCAGCACAAACCTGGAAAGGGAAGTGGGCAGGTTACAGTGGAGGGCTATGGAGGGCGTTTGTAGCTGTGCCTCCGGGGGGCGGGGAAGGGGAGAAACAAACAAACAAAAAACTTGCTCAGAAAAGATGCAAAGCTGCTCACCCAAGCCTGAACTCGAAGGGGTCCCTCAAAGCGCTACTCGAGGCAGGGGAAACTGCTTCCTCCAGGAGGGCGCGAACTGGAGGCAGGGGCAGGTCCCAGGGGCTCGGCGACCCCTCCTTCCATTCCCATAACCTCTCCCACGTTACACGGGTGACCCAGAGCCGACCCGGAGGCAACTGGGACCTCCTCCCCGCGCCGCCACCCCGGGGAAGCAGCCTGAGCGCGGGGACGCTCTCACTGGGCCCGTCGCCATGGTGACCACCGGAGCCCCGCCCCTTCCTCACTACGTGGCCCCACCCCCTCCAAACCCGGAAGCGGGAGAGAGGCTGCCGATGCGCGGACGTTTCGGGAGGAGGGAGCGGGGCGGCCCAGGTTCGCTCGGCCGCGCGCCCCGCCCCTCGGAGGCCGGCGGTCCTGTGCGTCCCCACTGCCTGCGGCGCCTGCGGGTCTGAGCGCTCCGGCCCCGGCCCCCGCGCGGGCTCAGCCACCTCCCGGCCCGCTCGGGTCCTGGAGGGAAGAGCCGCCTGGGGAGGAGGGAAGCGGACGTGGGGGCGGCCACGGCAGGTGAGGGATGAGCGAGGCCCTGCGAGCGGGGGTGTGGTGTGTGTTGTGTATGGGGTGGCAGGGGAGTGTGTATGTAGTGTGAGCTGCTGTCCCAGTCGGTGTGCCTTTGTGAGTGGGCCGATCCTTGTGACCGTGCACGTGATCACATGTCCGTGTGTGTGTGTGTGTGTGTGTGTGTGTGTGAGAGAGAGAGAGAGAGAGAGAGAGAGAGAGAGAGAGAGTTAATTAGTTAGTTCGTGGGGGTGGTCGGCGTGCGGTTTCCCTGCCTTTGTGTGGCTGTCACCGGTGGGCCTGGGAGAAGATGGGGGTCCGTGTGGAGTTCGTCTAGGGTGAGGGTGGGGCGCTTGACAGGGCACCCTCCTGTAATCCCCTCCTGGGCTCGCTGCTGCAGCCCGGGAACGTGTTTTCCTGTAAACTTTTAAGAACTCTGAGCAGTGAGCAGAGACCAGTTCCTTGGGAGATCGGGCCTCAGCCTGAAAGTGACAGGTGACTTTGTCATTGCTGAGTAGGGCCAGGTGTGAGACTGGTGACTGGGGGCTTCTCCACCTACAATGTTGCAGCTCCTGTCAGCACAAAGGAGTAACTTAATAGCTGTGTGCAACTTTCCAAAAGCTTTTATAGGGAGACAGGACAAGATGAGGTGTCACAGAAGAAATGTCAAGTAGGCAACTTTTCCTCCCATGAGGGTTAGAAGATAATGAGAGAGAGAGAGATAAGTCTTCCCCTGTAGATATCTAAAAAAAGATAGCTGTTTTCTGATGTGGTAAGGTACAGGAGACTTGCTTTAAAAGCCAATTGCATCTCCTGGAGACTCCCGGGTTCAGTATTTTGTTATTGTGGTGTCAATAACAATCCTAGGTTGTGCATATGTAGATCAACTACAGATTGAGATAAAGGTTCAGAAAACCTCTGAGTAGTCAAGCTAGTTATGTGACAGACATTGGTAAAGGTGATTTTGTTGACTGTAAACTGGCAGGTTCTGCTGAAACTGAGCCATAAATGCTGGTGATTCTCCGTGCACACTCACAACTGGCAGTTTTACTGACAAGCAGCACCAGGGAGGACCAGGTGGCCAAAGCTCTCCCCCGGGGAGGGGCTTCCTTGGGCAAGAATAAGGCTGATCTCTGCGGCCCTTTCCCTCCCGGCATGAACAGGTGCTTTTGTTTTGGTGAAGAATTGACTTGTGAGGGATCAGATCAGTGTTGAGCTCGTGGTCCACATTCTTTCTTTTTTTAATACCGACCAGTTTGGTCACAATCTCAGTTAACCTTTCTTGCCATATACGGAATGTTCTTCTTGTGACTTGGAAAAGTACACCCCTTTAGTGAATGAGAGAGAGTTGGGAGAACAAACTTCCTTTTCATGCTGCTCACAGCTGCTTTCCCTTTGCAGCATGAGCTTTTTTTTTCACTTAGATGTCAGTTGGTCATATGCAGCATTTGCTATCTGTCTTACCTTTCATGTACTGCCAAACGAGCACAAGTGTTAAAATCACTTGCCTCTACAAAAATGTAGTCACAGGACTCTCTCCAGCAAGGTTAGTTATAAAATGTTAGGATGCTGGGGTGGTTGTGAATAATACTGAGGACTGTGGTAAGGAATATCTTTCTATTTATTGCTATGGGAAGAAGTGGATGACAGTGAATGTATGCCTGTGTACAGTAGTTTGGTTAGTCCATTGCAGTTGATTGCAAACTGGGAATAATTTGTTTTATGCCAAGTTTGGTAAATCTAGAAGGAAGCTTTCTGCTTTTAATTAGCTAACGTGTTTTATAAATCTATTGGGTAGATTTTTTTGTTGTTGCTAAACATGTTTTTGATGTTTTCTTCTTTAAAATGGTAATTGTTTATAGTAATGCAATAATAAAAAATGTCTCTGTTAGGAGCTATTTATATGATATAGGAATATTTCAGGTCTGTCCAGGTTGAAAATATTCCAGAATTAACTATCTATGCTAGCTGCTTTCAATTAAAAGTGGTAAGCAGCTCAGAGAAAGGCTATAGTTCAAATTAAGATTTTTAACATGTGAATATTTAAGAGAAAATGGATATGCAAAGAATGATTTTCTTTATTTCAGTATGAAGAAAAACTATATGTGTGCACAGTGATTTTCAGGATAAGACTGGCTAATGATTTTCTTGGTACTTTGGAGCAATTTATAATTTTAACAAATTTTTCTAAAAGTACCATCTTAGCATTGAGAGAAGAGACCATTATTATAATGTCAAGGCTGTAAATCAAGTTTAATATTGGATGTCTACATTTACCATTTCCTTGGGGTTCAATTTAGTAATCCCTCAAGGTTGGAGATAACAGTTGAGAATGCTGAGTGCCCTGTGTGACTGAGGTAAAAGATGTGGAGATCCAAGGAGGAAGAGCTCCATTGGTTTTATTTATTTATTTTTAATATATTTTTTTATTGATTTCAGAGAGGAAGGGAGAGGGGGAGAGATATAAAAACATCAATGATGAGAGAAAAGCATTGATCAGCTGCCTCCTGCAAGCCCCACTCTGGGGATCGAGCCAGTGACCCAGACATGTGCCCTGACCAGGAATTGAACTGTGACCTCCTGGTTCATAGGTCGAAGCTCAACCACTGAGTCATGCCCGCTGGGTGAGCTCCTTTGGTTTTAGAATCCCCTGCCTCTGGTCAGTCCAGAGAAGCCCCTCTAAAATGACAGCTCAGAGTCAGCCCAGAAATTAAATCCTAAGATCTCAAGCTCATCCTAGCCCTCCTAGGAAATCCAGGCTTGCCCTGGGGTAGAGGACAGGGTACATTGTAGGTGTTTGAATCCTTCGAAACCAATGGGTGGAAGTTCCCTGTTTGGCAGTAAGAATCTACAACAGGGAACTGTAATTTCAGGTTCCTGTTATGACACAACACGCATGCCTGAGCAAAGAGACCAGCCTTTAAATGGAAGATGCTCAGCCAGTTCAACACCCATAGTTGCCCAAGTTAGAAGGGACTCTAGGGTTGCCTAGTTCAGTCTCCTTAGGACATAGTCATTCGCCAACAGATGACGCCTTCTGTGTGCCAAGCACTGTTCTAGGTGTTGGAGATGCCATGGTGAAACAGTCACAGGTGAGAAAACTAGCCCAGAGAGGGTCAGTGACTGTTCTAAGGCCACAGAACTATAAAAGCTAGAGATCACTAATCCCACAACAAAAGACCACACATTTTTTCGTAAAGGCACATGTTTTGTTTGGTTGCTAGTTCTAGTGCCTTCAAGCCTACCCTCATGTATTATCATAGATCTTTGGAGGATATTAGATCATTTTTAATCACACTAATATGAACAGCAATTTTTCTATATTTTGCATTAAGAGCTACATGTGAGGTTCTGAAGTTATGTTCCACTACAGTTAGTTAGATTTGTGGTATTTGGTGAATTGATCAGGAAGCAGGCTTACTAGTACATTAACTCCTTTCTTTAGTGTGGACTATTCCCTATAATTCTATCAGACAGAAACATCTTTACTAAGATGGATTAATAAGATATTGTCAAAAGATAGGGGGTGGCACTGCACTTTGGAATCATTTAACTAGGACAGGCAGTCTGGTGTCAGAAAAGACTGTCCTGCATCTGGTCCTGGCTCTGAATTAGCCATGGCCTCTCCGGTAAGGCGTTTACATGTTCTAGACCAGATTTCTCTTTTGAAAGAACTAGAGGTGTGAATAATGATCTCTCAAGGCCCCTTCCTGCTCTATGATGCTAGCATTTCACCAAATTGTTTTTTATGCTTTAAGTATATGTCAGCAAGTTAAAAATAGCCCATTTCCTCAGTTTTACCCTTTAAAGTATGCATTGTTGGTATAGCTAGACCAAACTGTACATTTAGTTCTGATGTGGACATGAATTCTTGACATGCAACATCACATGCTTTTATTTCAGGGTTAACCTCCATCTCAGCTAATCATGGGAGAGATTAAAGTCTCTCCTGATTATAACTGGTTTAGAAGTACAGTTCCCCTTAAAAAGGTATGTATGGTTTTACTACACTTCTTATTTCCAAAATCTTATATTGTTTTTGTGTGTGATTTACATGTTATGTCTTACAGTGTTTGAGAGTAAAGGTTATTGCCAAGTATCATGATTTTGGGTTTCAGAGCATAAAGTTTGCCCCTTCTCTGTCAAGTACAGTCAACTTTTGAGGCTCATTCAAGAGTAAAAGTGAATATAAATATACTCATTATTTTATAATTATTTTTACATATTCAAGCAAGCAAGAATAGGTGTACTCCTTAGTGTAGTTTAGTGGAAAACTTACAGCAATAGCAACTATACAGTAAGGGCAGTCAGATTCTATTATAAAGCATTTTTCTGTTCCTCAGATTCAAGATTCACAGTGGATTAATTAGAGATCCTCTGTTAGCAATGATTTACTCACTCTGCCATGGTCATCTTCTGGAAACTTTATTTCCCTGGGATGTCCAAAAGCACCAAACGCTTATTTGAAATTTCACTATTGACTCTGAGTCCCAGATTAATCCTAAATATTTTGGGGTCATACTAGACAAAGGCTGTTCTCGTCACAGGATAAAATCTTTGCTTATCCCCTTGCAAAAGTATTAAGAGTACTATGGAAAAATAAGAGTACTATGATCTGACGATCATCTGTGTCTCTGTTATTTTGTCAAGGTAGACAGTGTGGAAGTATCATGCAAATTTGAGTTAATAACAAAATTACTCTCCATATAAAAATTTGAGACAGTTTTCCAGGTATAGACAGAATACCTGCTATATAGCTGGCACTGTTGTAGGAAGTCCCCAGATATCGTATTTAATTCTTTTCAATAGTTTAACAAAGTGGGTAGTGGTGTGCCCATTTTATAGATGAGAAAACTGAGATTCACAGTGGTGAGCTTGTTCAAGGTTGCCCAAGTTCGAAGGGATTCTAGGATTGTCTAGTTCAGTCTCCTTAGGACATAGTCACTCATTTAGTCAACAGATCATGCCTGCTATGTGCCAAGCACTGTTCTAGGCTAATAGGTTTGGGATTAAAATCAAATTAATCTGACTTCAAAGCTGGAAGTACTTGGCTGCTTACCAAAGGGAGCTCCCTTCCTTCTTGCTGCCGGGAAACCACTGCCCGTGCTGAAAGGAGAATTGGCCTCTGGAGTCCCTCTACTTCGTCCCATCCCTCAGCTTAACTCACGTGAGCTCCTCCTGATGGGCTCACTTAACAAGCTGATCACCAGACCAGGACAACCCACACCTATCTAAATAGTCTAAGAAGCAGTTATAGGAAGTTGTTTTATTGATGTGATTTTCTGCAGTTGTCAGGTCAATTTGGCCCACAAAAGTCATGATAAACTTGCTTGATACATTTTGTGGTGCTAGATTACAAATTATCAAGCAGATATTGTGACTTCTAAAGGCATTCTGACAAAATTGCCATTCAGAGAACTCTGAGGAAGTTGAAGGGATAAACAACCTTTGTATTTATGGCTTATATTTAGAACATACTATGTCAGTTATATCTCAATAAAACTGGGGATGGGGATGGGGGAGAGACATAAAAAAGAACATGCTATTTTTTGTTATTTTTCTTCCAAATCAGATTATTGAAATAATTTTCTAGAAAACTTTAGAGATCTTTTCTCATATGAATTTTATTACTACAAGATTGAGATTTACTGTGTGCACTGTCAAAGCCATTGATAGATTTTTACCACAATTTCAGCAAAAAGGCATGAAAAGCAAAAATGTGAGCAATAAAATACATAGGACACAAACATGAATGTGAGATGCTGTTGTGACCACCTGTGGCCTGGGCAAGTCCAGAAGGGAATTGTCAGGGCTCTCTGGACTTTGCCTCGCGCTGTTGTCTGCTCTTGGTAACATCAGTGACCATGGTCAGTGTGTTGCCACCCAGAGTGACACCATGGGGTTCACAGCACTGCCAGCTGGGAGAGCTCAGAAAATAGGACCTGGAGGCCTTGAACTTTTTAATGTGAAATTAGGAGGAATATTGATTTGCATGGGCAAAAGTTCAAACCATTAATGTACTTTTCCAAATACCACCAAAAGTCAAAGAAAACAAAAATTAAACTAACACGCAATGAATGATACTAATCGCTAACACTGATTGAACTCTGAGCATCTGCCAAACTCTGTGCTGAGCACTTGAATAATCTCAGCTCACTTAAAGCTCATCGTTTTCCCCTGTTGGGTCAAGAACCATTAAATCAGGAGGGTTTCTGAAGACCTTCCTCCTTCCCACCCCCCCCCCCGCCCCCTGCAAAGCCAGTTTTTCCTGTACCCACTCCCCACACCCGACTGAATGATTTGAAACATTCTCCTGGGACAGGGACACCCACCCCTGCCTCATCCCTCCTCTCTAGCAGAAGTCTCGCCTCTGGAAGATTGTTCTAGATCAGGTTCCTGAAGCATCTCCTGAGTGGTACCATCTCTGTCCAGTTTCTCCCTAGAGCCTGAAGTCTTTCTCTCCCTTGCCTCCCCTGTTCACACTCTGACCCTGCTGAGCCCAGTCAGTCCTCTGGGCCAGCACTGGAGAATGATTCTGCAAACTGCCCTTCTCCTACACACACGCACATGCACACATGTGTGCACGCGTGTGCGCACACACACGTATGGAGAAGAAGCAAGATGCCATGTACAGAGTTTACTGTTTAATGGTAAACAAAATAGACTTCCTATAATCATAGATGGAAAGGAAAATTAAAAACTGGTAGAAAAAGCAGCTCTTTGGAGGAGTATAAAGTATAAAGGAGTATAAATATTCTATGGAATATTTCCTGAGCACCAAAGAAGGAAAAGGAGACCAAAGCAGTTTATTTTATGTACTAATCTGGCGTGACCCCTCCCCACAGGTTACCTTTTAACAAACAAGGCAGTGGTATTAAAATTGTCAGCAAAATTATAGTGTGAAGTTAACAATACAAAAACCAAATCTGTAAGACTTTCCTATTTTTTTTTAATAACTTTCCCTCCAGATTATCGTGGATGACGATGACAGTAAGATATGGTCGCTCTATGATGCAGGTCCCAGAAATATTAGGTGTCCTCTCATATTTCTCCCCCCAGTCAGCGGAACTGCAGATGTATTTTTCCAGCAGATTTTGGCTCTGAGTGGATGGGGTTACCGGGTGATAGCTGTAAGTATTATTGATTCAGTATTCCAGTTCAGGCCCACATTTGGGGGGGGGGGTTGTGCTTCTATTTCTGATCAACTATAGTGAAGGACACATTTTTTATTGAGGTAAGGTACTGTTTTCCTTTTTTAAAAGTGAGATGAAGCCTTTTGGAGGAAGGTGGTATGGTACACAGACATACAGAGATGCAAAGGGGCAGACCTCCGTCGGAAGCTTTCTGCACTCCCAGCTTTTCTGTGCATTCTCTCCTGTCCCTCTTCTCACAAGTCTGACCAGTAGGAAGCATTGTCCTTGTTCGTAGGTGAAGAAACGGAGGTCCAGGCCATTTTAGTGATTGCCTCGGGTCACACAGCCAATAGGTGGTGGAGGGAGAACCCAGCCCAGTCTTCTGACTCCATTTCCCCTCCTCGTTTATTACACCACTGCTTTCAGGGGAGGCGAGCATAGACAGCAAAGAGATCTAACGTTGGGTGACTGGGAGCTTCCTGAGTCTTCTCTGTGGAAGGCTGGTGGGGAGGGCACTGTTGCTGTGACATTTCTTGGCGTGCCTCAGCTGTCACGACAATGGAGGGTGGTCTCCAACTTCCAAGGAAGGGAGATACCTGGGATATTAACATGGAAATGGTACTCCCCATGGGACTACTGCTGTTATTACACATTTTATTTACTGTCTTCACGGAAAGAAAACGTGGGCCAGATCTCTTTTCTTGGAAGGTAACCAAAAATTCTACTGAGGGCACCACCAACTGGGGCCACACAAGACAAATGGACTCCTCTTCCTCCTGACAGCCCTTTTCTTTCCCGAGAAAACTAGTTATTATCGGCAGGCACTGCCTGCTGCCTCCTCCCAGGTCTTTTCTTCCCTGGTAAGTTCCTCCAGATTCTTTTTTTAAAAAAATATATTTTATTGATTTTTTACAGAGAGGAAGGGAGAGAGACAGAGAGTTAGAAACATCGATGAGAGAGAAACATCGATCAGCTGCCTCCTGCACACCCCCCACTGGGGATATGCCCGCAACCCAGGTACATGCCCTTGACTGGAATCGAACCTGGGACCTTTCAGTCTGCAGGCCGACGCCCAGGTCTTTTCTTCCCTGGTAAGTTCCTCCAGATTCTTGAACCATTCCTCATATGGCATGTTTGAGTCTCTGCAGCATAACCCCTCTTGTTCTGGGAGTTCAGTAATCCCTCTTTGTGGACAGCCTTCCAGGAGGGCAGGGTGGTAGCCGCCCTCATCCCAGCCCTCTGCAGCTTCACACAGGACAGCCTTCCAGTGGCCACTGTTGATCAGCCAGGGAGGAGGAGACTGAGCAACCCCAGGCTCTGTCCCCCCAAAGAGCGCTGTCGAAAGCTGACTGTTTATCCCTCTAAACTGGCATTTTAGAGATTTTGCCTCCTGGGATTTCCCTATTTCATTAGCTAGGTAATCAATCAAGAAAAGGCCACCAGTGTTTCAAAATTACTTTGTTGTTTGAACAGAATGCCCAATCCATGAGGTTTTGAAACTTATTAGGTATTTGTTAGCATCTAACAGTTAAAATGCACAGATACCTTTTTCATTTACATTTTTAAATGAAATCTACAACTCACATGCAGTTGTAAGAAATAATACACAAAGATATCCCTTTTACACTTTGCCCAGTTTCTTCCAATGGTCACATTTCCCAAAACATCATACAATATCACAGCCAGGGTATTGATATTAATATAATCCATCCATCTTATTTAGATTTTTCCAGTCTTACTTGTGCTCAGTTATGTGTGCAGTAAGTTGTATATAATTTTTTCATCTGTCTAGAGCACAGATCTTTTTAAATTAAAGGTTTTAGTCCTGGCCAGGTGGCTCAGTTGGTTGGAGTGTTGTTCCATAGGTTTCGGGTTCAATCCTGTATGGGAGGCAGCTGATCAATGTCTCTTTCTCTTCCTCCTTCCCTCCTCCCTCCACCCTAATGTTTCTCTCTCTCTCTCTCTCTCTCTCTCTCTCTCTCTCTCTCTCTCCTCCCCCCCCCTTCCTCTCTCTCTCTCTATCATCTCTCTGTTAGGGTATCATCTTACTCAAATTTTCTGCTAGGAAGAGTCTGTTTTCCATGCTGTCTCAAAATAGCAGAATCTTATCCACAAATGGAATTTTAATGGTAAAAGTAACACAGATTTTAAAAGTACATCAAATCTGAAATGATCCCATAATTTACATGGAAGTATTTATTCTAATGATTTATTAATGACAAAATGCATGTAAGTGCTTAAAACAACAAGCCTGTCAGATGGGTTTTACATATTATTAAAGAGAGGGAATTATTAGGTGACAAGCCTGAGTACCCTAGAAAAGAGTTAGTGACTTTATTTCTTTTTTTCCCCTCATCATCAGCATTAATAGATGGGTGACTTGGGGTCAAGCACCATACTTTTTTGGTCACAAAATAAAAAGTTCAGGAAATCATACAGACTAAGTCAATGGAAAAAAAGGGACAATTTTATTGAATGCTCCCTTAAATGCTACCCAAAAGAGAGGGAGCTCTCCTTAGAACAGGTTTTGTTCCCAGTTCTCCTGAGCCACAACTCAGAATGAATTTAGATCTAAGGAGAAGCAGTATTTCTTTGCTTGGATGGGCTCTGCTCTGTGTACCTTTAAACCTCAGAGTCTCTCACTGTTTGGAAAGGAAGTTGATGTGAGTTGAAATTGTTATTCACATAATATCACTAGAATGCTTACTTTTTATTCTTCTTAAAATTGGTCTGTTAGATAAAATGTGAATTTTGAAGTTTAGGAAAAGGTGAGAAACATATTTACATATTTTGAATAAGGAGCAAAGCTTGAGCAACTGAGAAATGCTATTACGAGAGTCCTAAATTTTTCAGATAATATGAGTTTAAAAAATAAAAATAGATTCGTTCATTAAAAATAAATTAATTTTTTTATTATTTCAGTTGCAATATCCAGTTTATTGGGACCATCTTGAATTCTGTGATGGATTCAGAAAGCTTTTAGACCATTTACAATTGGATAAAGTGAGTACCATGAAACTAATTACTTGTGTGTGACTTTAATGCAACATTTGCATTATAAAGCCTGGTGCTGTTTTTCTTATTTTTTAAATAAAATCTCTTTTAAGATAAAAGTCACGTACTATACAGTGTACCCCTTTTCAAGTCTATAATTCAAAGATTTTTAGCATATTTACAGATATCTGCAGTCATTATCACAGTCAATTTTAGAACACTTTTCTCACTCCAACAAGAAACCCCATACTCAGCAGTCACTACTCACTCACCCTCCCCCTAACCCTGGCAAGCGATTCTACTTTCTGTCTCTATGGATTTGCTGTTCTGGATGTTTTGTATAAGTGAAATCATACAATATGTGGTGTTTTCTGACTGGCTTCCTTAGCTTAGCATAACGTGTTTGAAGTTCATCCATGTTGTAGATGTAGCAGGACTTCATTTCTTTTTATTGTCAAATAATATCCCATTTATGAATATAGCACATTTTGTTTATCCATTCGTTAGTTGGTGTACATTTGGACTGTTTCCAGAATATTTGGCTATTATAAATAATGCTGCTGTGAACATTCATGTACAAGTTTTGGTGTGGACAGGTTTTCAGAGTGGAATTACTGAATCATAGTGTTTGGGGTTTTTTTAAAAATATGTTTTTATTGATATTTAGAGAGAGGAAGAGAGAGGGATAGAAAGATAGAAACATTGATGAGAGAGAAACATCATCGATTAGCTGCCTCCTGCACACCCCCTACTGGGGATCGAGCCCGCAACCCTGGCATGTACTCTGACTGGAAATCGAACTGGTGAACTCTTAGTTCGTGGGTCTGTGCTTAACCACTGAGCCACAACACTTCGGGCCTGAATCATAGTTTTCTTAAACAGAAACTGCCAGTGGTTTCATTTTTTAATGTAATCTGTGAAGAGTATTTCTTTACGTTGTATGATTTGTATGCACAGTTGTATTGTTTTTCAAGGGGTGCATAAATTGCATTTAAATACAATATTTCCTAAAATTCTAACTGCAATAGATAGTTTAGTCTGTTGTCTAGTAGTGACATTCTCTTCTGCGGTTGGTGACAGTTAAAAATGTGTTGTTGTTTTTTATATTTATGTTCAGGATTAATCATTGTTGTAAGATCCTCCTTGTGCTTGTTTACCATTAGGTTCATCTTTTTGGGGCTTCCTTGGGAGGCTTTTTGGCCCAGAAATTTGCTGAATACACTCACAAATCCCCCAGAGTCCATTCCCTCATCCTGTGCAATTCCTTCAGTGACACCTCTATCTTTAATCAAACTTGGTCTGCAAACAGGTAAGGATGTAAACATTTGGCCAAAATTGTTACTATTTTTGTTCAATGGAATTTTGGAAATGTTGGCTTTTGTGGGTGTTTTTGGTGTACCAGGGAGGGAGGTTATTTCTACTTCTGTCTTCTGAAACCACCCTGCCTTTTAAAATTAGAAATAGTCATCTTTGCAAAAGAAAAGAATTGAATGAACTCTGAATTCACCTATTTCATTTACTGTAAGCTATTGTGTAGCTTTGTTTAATATGCATTCATAAGCTCTTACAGTTTCTCTTCGGTGCACATGCAGCTATTCTTGTGTTCTACATGTTGCACTTGTTATTTTATGTAAACACTAGAGTCCCGGTGCATGAAATTTGTGCACTGGGCGGAGGGGGGGGGCCCTCAGTCTGGACTGCGCCCTCTCGCAGTCCGGGAGCCCTTGGGGAATGTCCGACTGACAGCTTAGACCCAGCAGGGAGCGAGCCTAAGCCGCAGTCGGACATCCTTAGCACTACTGAGGAGGTGGAAGAGGCTCCGGCCACTGCCGCTGTGCTCGCCAGCCATGATCCCAGCTCAGGGCTTCTGGCTGAGCAACGCTCCTCCTGTGGGAGTGCACTGACCACCAGGGGGAAGCTCCTGCATTGAACATCTGCCCCTGGTGGTCAGTACGTGTCATAGCGACCAGTCGTTCTGCCGTTCAGTCGGTTTGCATATTAGCCTTTTATTATATAGGATTCTGTGTATTGGCTGAAATAGTTTCTTAGGAATTTGGCTTCTCTCAGTTTTTCATCGTATTCTATTGTAAATCTTTGTACAAATTACTTTTTTCCTTCCCTTTCTGGGTTATTTCCTTTAGATATGTTCCCCAAAATGGATAGAGTAGAGCAGGGATGGGGAATGTCATTTGGTCTGGCCCTGCCAAGGCAGTAGGGGTGAGTTAATTAAACGTTTGACCAAACATAGCAGGCTAATTTTTAAGTTGATAATTTTGTATGGCCTGCGAATGATGTTATAAATATACAAATGGTCCTTGGCAGAAAAAAGACTCCCATTCCTGGAGTAGAGCATTTAGTCTGTCACCAGATGTTCTGCAGGTCATGACACTTAACATGTTAAGCGGCCAGCCTGTTTTGTCTTCGGGACGGCAAGTATAGTGTCAGTCACCGGTGACTGACAGGGCGCTTAACATGTTAATGTTTATTTGCTTTTCAGAAAGTTGGGGATGGTGGACTGCTTTGTGGGGCAACCAAGGGCGTACCTACTTCCTCTGAGCTATCCTGTCATTGATTTTGTCATTTTAATTAGTTTGATAGGGATCTAATTGTACCTTAAAGCTAACTTAATGTGCATTTGGTTTCATTGCTAACAAGGCTAAGCTCTACCCTAAAACATAGCCCAGTGACTGAACATGCCTGTCTGATCAGGTCGGTTTTCATATAATGTTATAGGTAAACGATGTTTTCATGGCTTTCACATCTACTTAAGATTGTACTCTGTTATTTTCCTGAAGTCATCTCAGTAGTTTACTCAGCCTTCATGCAACGATTTCTTGTATTCATTAGCTACAGGTACTTCATATCCAGGTGATGTACTAAAAAGTTCATTGATTATTTTTGATGATTTTTTTAAATCTTCATCTGAGGACAGATTTTGGGGTTTTTTTTCTTTTTCTTTTAAAATTTTTATTTATTGATTTTTTTTTCAGAGAGAAAGAGAGAGAGAAATATCGATTTGTTGTTCCACTTATTTATGCATTCATTGGTTGATTCTTGTATGTGCCCTGACCAGGATCGAACCTGCAATCTTGGTGTACTGGGATGATGCTCTAACCAGCTGAGCTACCCAGCCAGGGTCTGAGGACATGCTTTTATTGATTTGAGAGAGAGAGGAAGGGAGAGAGAGAGAAAGAGAGAGAGGGGGAGAGAGAGAGAGAGAGAGAGAGAGAGAGAGAGAGAGAGAGAGAGAGAAAGAAAGAAAGAAACAGGAACATTTGTGAGAGAATAAAACCAATCGGTTGCCTCATGCACGTGCCCGCACCAGGGATCAAATCCGCAACCTGGGTATGTGCCCTGACTGGAATTTGAACCCAAGACCTTTTCGTGCACAGGAGACACTCGAACCAACTGAGCCAACTGACCAGGGCTGGATGATTTATAATGTTTCAATTGTCAGAAGCCATTTTGTATTCTTTGCATATTAGCTACTTTTAAATATATATATATGTTTTTGTTGATTTCAGAGCAAGGAAGGGAGAGAGAGATAGAAACATTAATAATGACAGAGAGCCTTAGCTGGCTTGGCTCAGTGGGTAGAGCATTGGCCTGCCGACTGAAGAGTGCTGGGTTTGATTCCGGTCAAGGGCACATGGCCGGGTAGCGGGATTGATCCCCGAATCAATGATTCTCTCTCATCATCCTCTCTCTCTCTCTCTCTCTCTCTCTCTCTCTCTCCTCCCTTCCTCTCTGAAGTCAATAAAAATATTTTTTTTTAAAATAATAATGACAGAGTATTATCAATCAGCTGCTTCCTGCACTCCCTCTACTGAGGATTGAGCCTGCAACCCAGGCAATTGACCTGACTAGGAGTTGAACCATGACCTCCTGGTTCATGGCTCAACACTCAACCATTGAGCCACACTGGCTGGGCATGTTAGCTACTTTTTAACAAATATCTGAGCATTTACTATATGCCATACACTGAGGTCAAAGAGGTGAGCATAGACAACAGGGTCCACTCCCCATAATGCACACCTAGGCATCAGGCCTTTTTAGAAGATAAGAAAGCTTTGGGGGTGAGGTGGAGAACTTAGATAAGTGAAAGATAGCCGACTATCCTTGTGAGGGAAGCTCAGCTTCCAACAAGGCCATTCTACTGAGAATATGCATCAGAAGGTGATCTGCACCTTTTGTAAGTCATTTTCAGTGCAGGCTTAGAGAAATCAGTGTTTTGCCCTATATAATGGCTCTCAGCATTTGTAATTAATAGAATATCATTAATATAATTAATATCAACCAATTATTATTAATATCAATCAAAAATCACAGAAATCCATAAAGATGGAATTGCCTTGAATTAGACCAGTGGAATCTAATAGTAGCAAACTTTGGGAGGTACACTAACTCTCATTTTGCTAATTTGAAATCTATTTTGAAATATCAGTCAATCCAAAGGTGATGTAAATGTGAAGGTTGGTATCTTAGGTTTTCAGTCTTCTATAAGAAATAGGTTAGCACTAGAAATACGGTTTAGCAATTAGGGAAAAAAAAGTCTTGGAATCATCAGAATGTCTACCTTGGTAAAGTTATTTTGAAATATATAAAAGGCTAATATGCTAAGTGTCCGACTATCTGACCAGTTGCTACGGTGCACACTGACCACCGGGGGCAGACGTCAATGCAGGAGCTGCCGTGACATGCAATGGCACCATGGACCTGGCGCCTACAAAGCAACACTTGGCTTCCCCCAAGTGGGACACAGGCCCCACCACCCCAGAGCGACAGCCCACCAAATCACAGCCAACGCTGCCGAGACCCCATGGTGCAAAATGTGGCCCACAGCCCAGCCCAGCCCAGAAATGGGCGCTGTGGGCGCTGGGTAATGACATCACATATCAACGCCCAGCTTCTTCTCCCTAGCGACTAGCCTCCTTGGAGTTTCTTCAGCCCAGGAACATGACTTGCTTTATACCCAGGTGCAAACATTTCACACTTTAACCAAATGTCTGTGAAGCATTTTCCCATGCCTCATCTCATTTGATTCTCACAGAAGTCCTGGAGTAGGTAGATATGAGACTCAATGGAATCCTATTTTCTTTTCATTAGCTGGAAAACGGAGATTTAGAAAGCTTAGAAACTTGACCCGACTGAAAGAAGTAAGAAATGGTGGACCTTGAAAATGACTTCAGGTTTTCTCACTGCACAGAATATAGTCAAACACTGCTGCAGTTAAATATTTTACCCTGTGTTCTCCCTGCGTGATCTACAATAGTCATCTTCTTCATGTTATATTTGTCAGCTGTGTTGCTGACAATTACCTGAAAGAGAAGTTGGGGTGCTTCATTGGGCTGGAAAAAGTTTAGCTACATCAGAAAGCAGGTCTAATTACGCAAGTTTATATAAATAAAAGGCTAAGTTGACTCGCGCATGTGCAATACATACAAATCTCTCCCTGGCGCCAATTGCATGCGTGTGTTTTGATCTGTCATTGTCGATTGTGAATTTGGTTGACACTTCTATTATAGAGAAAGGGCGAATAGTGATATTAAAATAGCTCTTCTAATTAATTTCCTTTCAATGTGCACAAATCCATGCACTGGGCCACTAGTCACTTATAATGATTTAAATCCTCAAAAGTTTAGTCATATTAAACATAATTCTTTGGGAGCTTGGGAAAGTGTATATAAAACAAGATGCTGAGCGCTTTGAAAGAAGAGACTAGGTCTTTTATCTCTAGATCCTAAGTAGCTAACATAGCAACACTTCAGGGTTGAATAAATATTTGCTATTTATGTGTAGTCTTGGAAGTTTAAATGATCAGGTCTTTGTTTTACAGCTTTTGGCTGATGCCATCATTTATGCTCAAGAAAATAGTTCTTGGAAACTTTTCATCTGGCCCAGTGGACCCTATGATGGTTGATGCCATTGATTTTATGGTGGACAGGGTAAGGATTGCAGCATTGGGGTGGGGACACCTTATACTGGGAGTTTTCATGTTTGCTTGGTTCCTGAAGAAACATCTGCCTCATTGAGGATGTATTAAAGGTGCTTGTTGAGTAGCCTTCTGTATTAACATTAATATATTACTGCTGGTAATTCCTCAGAATCATTGTGGGGAGCTTTTCAAAATACAGATTCCAGACCATCAAACTGAAATTCCTGGGCATTGGATCTGGGATGCCTGTATTTTTATTCCACTCCCCACTCCTACCTTCCCGAGATAAATCCGATGTAGCAGCTCTGTAGGCTTGCATTTATTTATTTACTAGAGGCCCAATGCACGAAATTTGTGCAAGGGGCTTGGCCCTCACAGCCCCGGCTTCCTCCGGAAGGTTGTCCGGAAGGATGTCCGGCTATCTGGTCTAATTAGCATATTATGTCTGGTCTAATTAGCATATTATGCTTTTATTATTATAGATTTTTAAAATTTTATTTATTGATTGTTTTAGAGAGAAGAAGGGAGAGAAACATCAGTTTGTTCTACTTATTTATGCATTTATTGGTTGATTCCTGTACGTGCCCTGACTGGGAAGAAAACCTGCAACCTTGGCATATCCAGGCGATGCTCTAACCAACTGAGCTATCCAGCCAGCACTAGACTTGCATTTAGAAACTACTGGGCTAGTTAATATTTCTGAGGTCTTATCCAGCTCTAAGATCTCCTAAATGTTTATCTGTTGTCTTTGTTGTTGTTGTTGTTAATCCTCACCTGAGGGTATTTTTTCCATTGATTTTTTAAAAGAGTGGAAAGGGGGCGGAGAGAGAGAGAAACGTCGATGAGAGAGAAATGTCGATGTGAGAGAGACACATAGATTGGTTGCCTCCCACACGCACCAGGGCCAGGGATCGAACCCGCAACTGAGGTATGTGCCCTTGACTGGAATCGAACCTGGAGCCCTTCAATCCGCGGGCTGCCATCTATCCATTGAGCCCAACTGGCAAGGGCTATTTGTCGTCTTTAAGCTACGGGAATTGGCTTGCTGCCCATGGCACGGAGTTGAAGAAGCTGTTCAGGTGGAAGACTATGAAAGGCCAGGTTCCCAGAACAGGAAAATGCCACCACCCGAGAGGCCTATTTGATGGCTCTCAAATACATGTGTTTCCTTGTCAGTGACCTTCCTGGCCCCCTGACACATGATCCCTCCTTTATTTTTTTTATTTTTTAAATATATTTTATTGATTTTTTTACAGAAAGGAAGGGAGAGGGATAGAGAGTTAGAAACATCGATGAGAGAGAAACATCAATCAGCTGCCTCCTGCACACTCCCTACTGGGGATGTGCCCGCAACCCAGGTACATGCCCTTGACCGGACTCGAACCTGGGACCCTTGAGTCCGCATGTGTTTCCTTGTCAGTGACCTTCCTGGCCCCCTGACACATGATCCCTCCTTTATAAGCACAAATACTATCTGTGGATTTAATGGAAATGTGAAAAACAAAATCAATTCAAAAACTTTACCTGTGTTTCTTTCTGTAGCTGGAAAGTTTGGGTCAGAGTGAACTGGCTTCGAGACTTACCCTGAATTGTCAAAATTCTTACGTGGAACCTCATAAGATTCGGGACATCCCTGTAACCATCATGGATGTAAGCTTCCTTTTAAGTAAAATAGATGCTTTATCTTTTTAAATGTGTATGTCAAGATCCTCCTCATAATTATTTTATAATTTTTCAATGTTTTTCAAAGGCAGCTTGGATTTTTTTAAATCTCTTCAGCTTCCTTAATTCCAAAGCAATCTATTTATTGCTTATTCTATATTTTTCCTGGCAGGGATAACCCAATCGAAATCAGAATAAATTTAAACAAACGTGGTAATTCTTATCCATTTTGGTGTATTTATTTTTATTCTTATCAACAGATATTACACTTTAGCTATTACATATCTGGGCAGCTAAGAGAAGGTGTCTCAGGAGGGCAGCAAATGAAGAATTCCATAAAGTCTAATTAGTGCAAAAACTTCTTATGTTTTTGAGTTGTGGTAAATTATACATAATAAAATTGACCACTTTAACCATTTTTGAGTGTACAGTTCAGTGGCATTAAGTACATTTACAATATTGTACAACCATCACCATTATCTAGTTCTAGAACTTTTCATCATCCCAAACTGAAACTCGGTACCCATTAAACAGTAACTCCCCATTGCTCCCTCCTCCTAGTCCCTGCAGCCAGGTTGTAGCATGTATTAGCATGTGATTCCTTTTTAAGGCTGAATAGTATTCCATTGTATGTGGATACCACATTTTATTTATCCATTCACCTGTTGATGAACATTTGGGTTGTTTCCACCTTTTGGTTATTGTGAATAATGCTGCTCTGAACATGGTTGTGCAAATGTCTGTTTGAGCCTGTACTTAAATTCTTTTGGGTATATACCTAGAAGTGGAATTGCTGAGGTCATATGGTAACTCTGTGTTAGCTTTTTGAGACACCACGGGATCGTTGTCCACAGCGACTGTGCCATTTACATCTCCACCAGCAATGCACCAGGGTTCCAGTTCCATATCCTCACCGACACTTGTTATTTTCTGTTGTTTTGATAATGGCCATCCTAGTGGATATGAAGTGGTATTTTATTGTAGTTTTGGCTTATAGTTTTAAAAAAAAATCATATAACTATCTTGCCTCAAAAATAGATTTATTCTTAAATTCAGGGTATTTTATTTTTAAATATATTTTATTGATTTTTTACAGAGAAGAAGGGAGAGGGACAGAGAGTTAGAAACATCGATGAGAGAGATTGATCAGCTGCCTCCTGCACACCCCCCACTGGGGATGTGCCCACAACCAAGGTACATGCCCTTGACCAGAATTGAACCTGGGACCCTTGAGTCCGAAGGCCGACACTCTATCCACTGAGCCAAACCGGTTTGGCAAATTCAGGGTATTTTAAAAAGTTGATTTTGTCAGAAAATTATTCATTATAAGCATGATAACTTGTTATCATTTTCCACTGTAATCTCTACATTCTGACATTCACCATGACACTGAGCAACCTTTAAGTACTCTCGGTGGAATGCCTGCTCCTCACGTGCATTTGATCTGCTTGCTCATCTTTTAAAACTGCCCGCCACTTGGGTACATGGTCACGGAAAACTGTCTCTAAGCTTTAGCAAGATGAGATGCATTTTTTTGTTTCTTTTACATTACTTTTTAAAAAACATTTTTGCATATGTGTATAAACATCACTTGGTGTGGGCATTGAAAAATGTTTAGAATCATATGCCCCAAACTTCTAGCAATGGCACCTCCAGGGAAGGATCTGGACTTTTTCTCATACTTGCAAATTTTTTGGATGTTTTTGGATTTCTTTACTGAGCATATACTACTTATATAGCTGTTATTAACATAGTAAAATTTTAAAATTCTTTTGGGGTTTTACAATCTTTTTGAAATTAAACTGGCATTGTCTAATAATGATTGTTCACTATTAATATTCTGTTCATTTAGTTAGCTATGTTTGAGGAAAAAGGAAATCCATAGAAGAATTTCCTCCTCCTCCCCCCCACCCCCATACCCCCCAAAAAAGAATGCAGGAGACATTTGGCAGCAAAATCTGTGGCTAATGTCTTATGTTGGATTGGAGTCCCGGGCGATCAGCAAGCAGGAGGAGGTGGCCCCGACTGCACCGGGGTTCAGCAGTGTCTCTTCATGGGAAAGAAATGCCTAGGGGGCACTTTCCAGAATGTGAAAAGAACGTATTAAATTACCAGTAGGTTACAACCTTGTCTTTTTTTAAAGGTATTTGACCAGAGTGCACTTTCAACTGAAGCTAAAGAAGAAATGTACAAACTGTATCCTAATGCCCGGAGGGCTCACCTTAAAACGGGAGGCAACTTCCCGTACCTGTGCAGGAGCGCAGAGGTGAATCTCTATGTACAGGTGCGTCCCAGCTTGGAACCCAGAGCACTTGGAACCCAACGTGTATGGTTTGAAACAGAAAGCCTTTTTTTTTTTAAATGTGGAGTAAGAGAACTAGAATTCTCTGTAGGACTGAGGCATTGATTCAATAAAGTCGGTTTAATTTGAGCAGATGTGTTAGAGATCCCCAGGTGACTCTGCCCACCATCCCTTTTCTAAGAATAGCAGGCCCATCGCCTCCGCACGCTGAAGCACCTTTTGGTAGGCTGTGACCTTGCCTCCTGGACACGATGACTTCAGTCAGAGCACGACACCAGCCCTGAATGGGGTCCATCTGGGTTCCATGGAGTGACTTCTTGGCCTATTTTTAATGCATTTTTTAAAAAATTAACAAATTTCATCTATAAATACAGCACCTCTTCATCCTCTACCTAAAGGGTATTAGAATATCGGTGAGAAATGATTGTTTTTGACAATTTGGCAGAAAGTATTAAGAGTCTTAAAAAAAACAACCAGTCACGTCCTTTGATCTTGTCATCCGCTTGTGGAAATGGATCCTAAGGAGAGGATCCCAAATACAGAAAAGCTTGATGCCCAGCGACATTCAGCATGGTGCCAGGCAGCACAGCAGAGGCTGGGAGGACCCGCCTTGCAGCAGCAGCGGGGAGGGTAAAGCCCTGCTCACGGAGCAGTGTGCACCCCTTCAGATGTTTATCAAGAGTTTGTAGGAACTTAGAGAGGCTGGCTACATATTAAATGAGGAACAAAAATCCCAAACTGTGGTTTTTAAAAATACTTCTTTGACTTTTCCGTGTTGCCCAATTTTTCTCTAATTAGTAGGTATTACTCTAACTTTAGAGGGACAGAGCATTTATATACCATGGTGACGCTTAAAATAATGCTTCTGCATTTCTACAGATACATTTGCTGCAATTCCATGGAACCAAATATGCGGCCATCGACCCGTCGATGGTCAGTGCCGAGGAGCTCGAGGTGCAAAAAGGCAACCTTGGCCTCAGTCAGGAGGAGCAGTAGCTGGCGCTTTGGCTGGTGATGACGAGTGACCCAGCACGTTCCTGTACAATCAGTGACATCAGTGCCGCCAGTCAGCCTCTGTTCATTCGTCAGGCTCGCCGGTTATCACTGTTCGGAAGTAGGACTGATGGTCCCTTTGTGACAGGCGGCAGCTCTTCTGAGCCAGCGTAACTGTTCCCTCTTTGGTTTTTTAGCTTTTGAATTTGAAGAAGTACTTTTGAAGACTCCCATTTTAAGAATTGTGAAAATTTTGCTACCAAAAGTCTTCACCATCGTGTACTTATGTGAATGTTACTTTCTGAGGTTTGGGATTTTGTGGGGGTTTTTCCTTGTCTTTTTTTCTTTTTTTCCTTTCTTCCTTTTTATATAATTTGCTATAAATACTGCACATCCAGATCGTGTATTAGAAGGACATTGGTGGTTTCTGTGCTTTCTTGTTGTAACTGTTACCAAAGTGCCAAGGTTGTCACCGCACCAATTACTCTCCTGCAGATCAACTACTTCCAATTCCAGTTATGCAAGTTGTTTTGGGTTTTAGCTGTTGTCTTTCTAGCCATTACAGTCATTTGGAATAAAAATTCAATTTCAGTGACTGGCTTTAATGATTATTGTATCGGGCTACACAGACAGAACCTGAGAAGCAGACCATGGTGTTTGCCAATTCAGTGTGACTTTAGGTAACTTACTTAATCTCTCTTAAGCACAGTTTGCTCATTGTAAAATAATAGTAGCTATCATTTATTGAGCAGCTACTCTGTACCAGGTACTTTTCAGACCTTCTTTTTCCTTCCTTAATGAAAAATTTTAAACGCACATAAAGTAGAGAAAAATAATATAATGAACCATGTCCCACTCACCTCGCTTCAAAAATTATCAAGTCATTGACAGTGCTATGTCATCTCTTATCCCACAATCCCTTCTTCCACACCTACTCCCATCACTGGATTACTTTAAAGCAATTTCTGATACCATATGATTTTATCTATAAGTATTTCTATATGTACCTTCAAGAGATAAAATAACCATAATGCCATTAACATACTTAACAGTTCACCAATAATTCCTTCATATCATTAGTCAATATTCCCATTCACGACTACCTCATAAACGTCCTTTTATGATTGACTTGTTCTAATCAGCTTCCATACAAAGTTCACACTTTGTATTTGATTGAAATGTCTCTTAAATCTCTTTTAAACTATAATTCCCTCTACCCTCTATTTTTTTTCTTGCTATTTACTTGTTGAAGAAACAGGCTTGTTTGCCCTGTAGAATTCACCACAGTCTCAATTTGGCTGATGGCAACTCACGGTGTCCTTTAACTTCTCTGTCCCTGGCATTTCCCATAAACTGATAATTGCATGTAGAGGCTTGAGCAAGTTTGAGCTCATTCTTTTTGGCAGGAATGCTTCACAGGTGGTGTGTGCTTCCTGTTGGGAGCTTTAGGAGGCACATAATGTCTCTCTGTGTCTAAGTTCTTAAGATCGTCCTTGTCAGCCTGATCCAGTCATTGGAAAGTCCCCCGATGGTTTAGCTGCCACTGCTGATCATCGCACACAAGCATCATTTCTTCAGGGGCTGCAGGACAGTGACAGTACTGGAATGCTTATTATTCCTTCTGCATTTATTACCTGGAGTTCACTGATTAAACAAAAGACAACTATAATTTTGCCTCATTAACTATTTGGTTTCTCTGAGGTACAATTTAGACAAAAAGATCAGCATTCATGTTTCTTTAAGTTTTCAGAATACTGAGTTGGCCATACTTTTTCAGATTTTAAACTGATTTTACAGGCGCAGAGACTTGGAGAGGTGGAGAGACTGCTGTAAGGACGGGACTGGAATGCCACGTTGGGTCATGCCTAAAGCCAGTGGTCTGTCCTCAGAGGTGCTGTCTTCCCTGACTGCCTTATGATTTGACAACAGTCGAGAATTAGGGAAGCAGTTGGTAAGCCATAGAGGCAGGGCTTGCCATTTCTAACTGTTAGCATTGAGTCTTCCTTGAGGCTGCCATAGTTTCACCGGGTGTGTCTTAACTTCCCAACAAACAGGGAGGGCCTGTGGGCAGGGCCAGTCTACACGTGGTCAGCAGCAACCCCTCACCTGGTAATGAACCAGGGCTGTCCTCCACTCTCTTCAAATTCTCCCATTGTAAGCCATGGCCCCCTGGCTCTCCCCGCTGACGACTGCCATGTCCTGCCCTGACTGATTTTGAGTGCTGGCCTTGAATGCTTATCCAGGTCTGTCTTTAGGCCAGTCTTCTACAGGCACCCCCGACTCTCCTGGCAAAAGCTACACCCATGTCCCCACTGCCCAAACCTGCCCCTGCTCTCCCCAACCCCATCATCTCGGTTCCCAACACCATTGCTCCTCAGATTTCCCAGCCAGAAACTCAGCCATCTTGGACCCCATCCCCACACCTTCACCTCCATGCCTCAGGCCGAAGCAGATGCTGATGAAGCATTGAGAGCAAGATGCTTATTAAAGATCAAAAGAAGGAAGGTTGTGGAAGGAAGATGGATTGGGCATCGTGACGCAGGCTGACAGACGAGGGAGCTCCGGGGCTACCAGTGCCCCCTGGAGTCATCTCAACAAGGGCTGAAAAGTCCACCCCTCTGCACGCCCGGCCCGTGGGCCTCCTGCCCCTCCAGCACCTCTCTCCTCCCCTCCCATGCTTCCTGTGTTCCAGCCACACCGTTCTGCAGACAGACACGCCTCCACACCTCCGTGCCATTGCATAGACTGCTCTTTGCTTGGAATGTGCTTTGCCCACTTCTATCTTCTCTGTGAGCCTCTCACCTTCCTCCCTTACCTTCTCTAAGGAGGAATAAATCCCGTAGTTCCCTGCATATACCCATTCAAACACCAACCGCATTCTATTACATTACTGGTATCTGAGCCCTTCCGCCCGCCGCCCAGACCACAAGCTTCCAAAGGGCAGGAACTGGGGGCTACTCCGTGCAGCTCCCCGGCTCCCAGCAGACTGCCCGGCTCGGAAGACACTCAGTCAATATTGACTGCGGGTGGTGAGCTGAACGGTTGTGGTTACACAGAACCGATCCACAACAGCTTGTCTCATCTGAAGTTTTGCCATAGGTCTCCCAAACAAAAGAAACAGGTATTGAATCTGAGAGATGTTTCAACATTTCAATTTTATTTTAAGAACTTGCTATTTTTGTCTCAAAAAAATACAAAATTCATTGTGCAAAATCCATTCAGATAAATGATCTGAATGTGGTACAAAGTACCTTTCCCTAGTGGGAGATGGAAGAGGAGGGTTTTCCATGCGGAGGACGGGGCCACGGCACGGAGGCTGCCTGCTATGCCGGGTCTGATCCATGTGAGCTGTGTGGCCGCTGACAAGACACACCTCTCACCACCAGGTTACTGCCTGTAACATGGGCTGGTTTCAAAGACTCTCTTTTCAAAACTTAGTTTGTGGGATTTCTTTAATTAATAGACTTAATTTTTAAAACAGTACAAAGAACAGCAGGTGGTATAGATTTCCCACATTCCCTCTCCACGGCAGTGTCCCCTGTATTGGTTTGCACTAGTGTTAGCATGAGGTTTGCAGGGTTCTCTGTGGGGTAAATCCCTAGATGTGGGATTGCTGGGTGAAGGGGAAATGTGCCTGTAACTCTGGTAGGTAAAGCCACAGTGCCTTTCAGAGGATGGTACCATTGTGAACCCCACCGCCGTGTGTGGTCACTGAAACCCCTTTCAGCTCCAACAGATTTTGTTCTATCTCCTTCCCAGGACTTGGGCCCAATGGGTAACTTTGTGAGGAGTTTTCCTAAGATGCGGGCTCCCCACTGACCATCACCAGCTGTGCCACATGCAAAAGAGCTGGAATTAGCAAGCGTGGCAGGAGAACTTCAACTTCCAAGCTCCCGTGCAGATCGCTCCCCCTGCTGTGAGCCGTGAAGCTTCCAGTCACATTCCCCTGGAGCCACACGCGGGTTGGTGTGGCTGAGCTGCACGGTCACCTGCTTGCCTGTCACCTAAAAGGGAAACTCCAGACCAGCTGTGCCGTCCAATGTGGTTGCCACTTACCACGGTGCCTATTTAAACTTCAAATAATTAAAATGAGATAAAATGTAAAACTCAGTTCCTCAGCCCACTGGTCACATCGCAAGAGCTCAATAGCCACAGGCAGCCAGTGGCACATAAACCGTAGCGCACAGATGTCCATCGCAGAAAGCTGCGTTGAATAGAGCTGCCTCAGAGAGGTGAGTCTTCATACTGGGGCTATACAAATGAGAATGACGACTGACCAGTGTGGCTCAGTGGTTGAGCATCAACCTATGAACCAGGAGGTCACAGTTAGATTCCGGTTAGGGCACATGCCCGGGTTGTGGGCTCGATCCCCAGTAGGGGGCGTGCAGGAGGCGGCTGATCAATCATACTCTCTCATTGTTGATGTTTCTATCTCTTCTCCCTCTCCCTTCCTCTCTGAAATCAATAAAAAAAATTTTTTTTTAATGAAAATGACAACTAAATGCAAGGAGAGATCCTGGACTGGATCCTGGTGCAGAAAAATGGCTCAACTGACTAAATTCGAATAAGGTCTGAAGATAAGCTAACAGTATTGTATCAGTGTTCATTTCCTGGTTTGGGAAATTATGCTCTGGTTATGTAAGATGCTAATACTTGGGGAAGCTGTATTGTGAAGAGTATTTGGAAATTCTTTGTGTTGTTTCTGCAACATTTTTGTAAGTCTAAAATGATTTCAAAAATGTTTTAAAACCTTAAAAAATGTTACGAGAGGAAAAAAAATGAGAGTGTGTGCCTCATGGAACTGTCCACGCGTACAGATAAACCTGGGAACAGAAACAGCTGTGGAGCGAGCACAGCATTCCTAAAAGCCAGTGGATGAGTTAAGGGTGGTCCGTTTTGTAAGTGACGGATGGAGCCCTTCAGCAGTTGGAGAGACAGGAATGCTGGGGTTGGCACCTGGCCTCACCACCTGATTGGCTGCTTAGCTAGCCTGAGCCCGTGTCCTCTCTGACAAGACGCCTCTTGCACCCTGTGAGGCTCTGAGATGACGGGGATGAAAGTGAGCTGAGAGATGCGAAGGACCATACCTGTGGGAAGGGATTACCTGCAAAACCCAAGACAGCCCCTGGACCAATCACTGAAAGAAATTGCAAACATTTGCCTGCTGGCCCTGCATGACGATGCATTTCAGTAAAAGCAGCTGGAGGTTTGTTAACGGTGATTCTTTTTTTAAGCCCTTAAGTGGTGGTTGTCTTCTGTTCCGTGGCCCCCACTCCAAAGTCCCAGGCTCCTGAAGGTCCAGCCCCTCCGGTTACATGGCTGTGCACCTCCTGGGGGTGCCCGGGTCGGCGTTTACTTTCCTCCTGATGCTTTCTGCAAAAGACGAGACTCCTATTGCCTCATGTTGCCTAAGGGCTCGTTTCAGGTTTTCACTGGCTGCCAGAATTTGTGTTAAAAGAAGAAGCAACAGTAAGATTGAACATTTTGGAAAAAGAAAGAAGTTATACCCAATTCCTCCACTCTGAGATGACTCTTTCCCTACCCTGCCCGTGGCAGCGCTGCAATGGCCAGCATGCCAGGGGCTTTCCATCCCCTCAGTAACATGCTCTCCATGTTTCTCCTGTTGCCACATGACTAACGTAGCCTTCACTACTATTGGCGACTGCCTGGTACCCCATCCTGTGCTTTCCCGTAAAGCGCCATCCAGTGCACATCGCAGTGTAAGGCTTTGTCATTGAGAGCTGGCCTTGTTCCTAATGGGGGTTGTGCCAGAAGCTGTTATCCCTCTTGCCTGATGGTTCCATGGATGCCCTGAGTACCAAGCCAGGATTTGGGGACTATTTTTTTCTTTTCTTTTTTCATTACAAGCTCCATTTGTTTCACCCTTTTTGTTTAATGGCTGGAATTCAAAAGTTGGGATGGCATTGGAAATTTTGAGATCTGACTGGCTCAACTCATCTTAAGCCAGTTCTGGCCCGTATGTCTTAATGTTTGTAAAAGAAAAACAAAACAAAACAAAAACTCTGCAGGCTGTTCCAGCTTTATTCCACACTGTGGGGGGAGGGGGGATCAAGTATAGAAGGCTGGAGAGGAAGAGACTGTAGTGTCCCTGGCTCCGGGGCTATGAACCTCATAGGCATCACCTGGGACAACACCCTTCTTGCACAGGTGGGGAACCCAGGGCCAGGAGGCACTGTGATTCGCCCAAGGGCCACCTGAGTTCCAGAAAGAGGCAGAGCCGGGACCAGGAATCTGGAAGGTTCAGAGCCAGCACCACGGCCCTGTGGTTTGAGCAGCCTTGGAAGGCTCTGCCTCATTCCAGTGTGGGCCACGCTGCTCTGACCCTGGGGCCGGGCGCTGCCCTGAGCAGGAGCGGGGCAGGGGACGCTCTTACCAGCCAGGTCCCTCCTGCCGATGGCCACGAGGCCCTCGAAGAGCCCTTTGCTGGGGTTCTCACCCGCCGTGGTCACGCCGTGCAGCCAGATGAGCAGCATCCGGTGGCCATGCTCCTGGTAGCTCTTGGAGCCTGAGGACCATGAAGGAGAAAGAGAAAAGGAAAAGGAGTCACCTGGCCCACTTAGCATGAGCCAGATCTAAGCACGTGCCCATGCAGCCCTGTCCTGCCTCCGGACACCAGGCCCTCCTCTACTCTCGAGGGGTTCAGCCCAAAGATGGGGAGGGGAGGGCAGAGCAGCCTCAGGGTGCGGGTGGAGGTTCTGTGTTGGGGACCCTGAACTCCCCAGCCCCAGGCTTTCTCCTGAGCATCCACCACGCATGCCGTTGGTGTCTCTCTTAAGAGAGAGTTGGCACTCACTGTGGTACCCGATGCACAAGGCGGTCGGCTTCACCTCTGGCTGCTCAGGACAGTCTGTGCCTTGCATGCTAGTGGCCCTCCTCTACAGGCGAGAAGTCGGCTTAGTCAGAGGCCGAGCTGGCCACGTTCTTTCCAGCATCAGTGGTTCTCGACTGAGTGCCCATTGGGAACACCTGGGAGGCTTTAGGAACTATGGACATCCAGGTTCCCCTCCGTCCCCCAGAGCTCCCGACAAGCATGGGTCTGGGGACGGCCCAGGCACCGAGTGGCGTTAACGCTTCCCAGGCGATTCCAAGGTGCAACCATGTTCGGAAAATAAGTGTTCACACTCTTCGGTGCTGGTGGTGGGATTAACTTGTTTTAAACTCTCTGACTAGGTCTGCTCTCCCAGGCAGGGCGACAGCGGGCACAGCCGTTGGTCGAGGTCAGTCCTTTCGCTGGGTCTGCCCTGCCCCCTGTGGGCCCTCAGCAGGCACGTCCTCCCGGTGCTGCCCTTGGTGCGGCACTTCCATCCGACCCCTTTGTTCACTAGCCTTTGCCCCCCAGTGCCCCTCTATCGGCTATGAAAGCTCTTGTCGGTAATAAAGTTTACTTTTGGATACCCCGCTCTATTCCACTAATTGGTTTGCATATTTTTGTGTCAGGTGTCTATATTATTTATTTTAACTTTATAAATGATTGAGTCTGGTTGGGTTAGATCATCTTCACTACCCCCCCCCCCCCGCAGAATATTCATTTATATGTTCCCTGTTTATTCTTTCAGTCAAGCTTCAAAAACTTCCTATATTCATTTTATTAAAGCTAGATTAAAGTTTTAATCTAATTTGGGAAAAATCAATATCTATAAGATATTATTTCCAGCCAGGAATATAAAGTGTCATTCCATTTACTCAAGTCTTCTTTTATGGCTAAACTAATTTTTATTGTTTTATTAATATGTCATTCATTTTTCTTTTTATAAAAACACATTATTTTTTTTAAATGTATTTTATTGATTTTTTACAGAGAGGAAGGGAGAGAGATAGAGAGCTAGAAACATCGATGAGAGAGAAACATCGATCAGCCGCCTCCTGCACACCTCCCACTGGGAATGTGCCCGCAACCAAGGTACATGCCCTTGACCAGAATCGAACCCGGGACCCTTCAGTCCGAAGGCCGACGCTCTATCCACTGAGCCAAACCAGTCTCAGCTATAAAAACACATTATTATAAAAGTAATATCTTGCCCTAACCGGTTTGGCTCAGTGGATAGAGCGTTGGCCTGTGGACTCAAGGGTCCCAGGTTCGATTCCAGTCAAGGGCATGTACCTTGGTTGCGGGCACATCTCCAGTGGGGGGTGTGCAGGAGGCCGCTGACCGATGTTTCTAACTCTCTATCCCTCTCCCTTCCTCTCTGTAAAAAATCAATAAAATATATTTTTTTAAAGTAATATCTTTTTTAAATGCCTCTATTTATGTGGCCCACTTATTGATGGTACATAGGAATACTCTGGTGTTTGCATATTTTATCATATAGTTAGCCATTTCGTGGAATTAAATTTTTTTGTTGTTGTTAATCCTCACCCGAAGATATTTTTTTCATGGATTCTTAGATAGAGTGAAAGGGAGGGAGGGAGAAGAGAGAGAAAGAGTGATTGAGAGAGACCCATCAATCGGTTGCCTCCTGCACACACCCCAACCCGGGCCAGGATCGGGCCTGCAACCCAGGTACGTGCCCTTGACTGAGCACCTTCGGTCTGTGGGCCACTGCTCTAACCACCAAGCCAAACTGTCCAGGGCTGAATTAATTTTTTAATGTTTTAATTGATTTTTTAGAGAGAGAAGAAAGGAAAGGGAGAGAGAGACAGAAACATCAATCAGAGAGAAACATCACCATCAATTGGCTGCCTCCTGCTGGGGGGATCAAGCCTGAAACCTGGGCATGTGCCCTGACCAGGAATCGAACCGGCCACTTGGTGCACAGTCAATGCTCAACCACTGAGCCATGCTGGCCGGGCTCACTGAATCATTTTATTCTAAGAGTTTTCAGCTGATTCCTCTGGACTTCCTGTGCATATAATCACAGCATCTGAACTTAATAAATCTCTCTCTTCCTTTCCAGTATTTGCACTCATTTCTAATTCTGTTTCATGCCTTAGTACCAGGGCCAACATGTTCAAATATATGTTAAGTAACAGTGGTCACAGCAGCTCCTCTTCTTTTTACTAAGAGTGCCTTTCGTTTCCTGTATGAACGGTAAGTATCAGCTCCGGCTGATTCATGAAGAATGTGAGGTTGACAGGACAATGGGGAGGGAGAAGCAGAGGGCATGCCAGTGCAGAGGCCTGATGCGTGAGGAAAACACGCGGTGTGCTGGAAACGGCACGCGGCTTCATGTGGCTGGGCTGTGGGTTGCACAGGCTTTTCCCCCAGAAGCACAGAAAACAGAAGATACCTCGAGTGCCCCTACCCCTCCACCTGCTGGTTGCTCTGGGGAGCCGAGGCGAGGGGTACCTGTCCACTGTTGCTCGATGGCATGGACGTGGGCCTCAGTGAACTCCCAGCAATACGCGAGCTTCTTCCACTCGTGGGGCCGCAGGTACCTGGAGGCCAGTCGCCACAGCACAGAGCGGAGCTGCTGCGTTTCCTGCCGATGGTCCTGCTTAAAGGTCAAACTCTTCCCAGAGCGGTCACTGGGGTCCCTGAGTGAGAGGTGGTCCTGTGGGGCAGATCCCAAAGGTGCAACAGGGGTTTCTGGGGGGAAATCCCTGCCAGGCTCTCCCTCGTGATCCTGGACGGGGAACTGGGAGATGGAGTCATTACCAACCTGGGCCTTACTGCCTACTGCTCTGGTTTCTGCCTCTATGCCTTGCTTTGGCCTCTGGGACCCAAGCTGCTCACACTGTTCCTCCATCCAGAAGTCCTTTCCTCACCTCCCTGTCCCTCAAGCCCATTGCCACAGTCAAAAGACCACCCAAATGCCACCTCTTTCAGGAAGGCTTCCCAATTCCTCTCTTCTCTGTTTTTATGCGGTACAGGTGACAGTAGGGGGACTCAGCAGTTGTGGCTAAAACTAAACAAGGCACTGGACTTGCCACGTGCCAACAAGCAGTGAAGGGTAAGGTTACAGAAGTCTTTCTATGCAAAGCAAGTGATAAAATGAGAGGTTACAAAAGAATTACATAATAGCATAAACTAACCCACAAAGGCCTCTGTAAGCCCCTCTAAAGGAAGTGGATACAGAGTTCCAGTTGTTGAAAAGCTCACGGTGAGAAAAGTCACCCTGGGGTCTGCATGTCACCTCCTGGTCAGCAGTGTCTGGCCAGTCGCCTGTGAGGGGAGGACATGGGAGCTTGGCTCTCACCCTGGTGGTAAGACACCATGTCTTAGAGCAGAGAGCAGTGTTCTCCGCTGCATCTCTGCACCGGGACCATCCGGGAGCTTTAAGAACTACTATGCTTCATCCCCAGGGGGAATTCGTGAATCTAACTGCACCTCTGCCCTAGTGTTGAGAGCGTTAAAGAGTGATGTGGCTTAGCATTAAGCACATAAATCATTTCGTCAAACCCTTCATATTAATATCCTGGGGTTACATTTAGGGGTCGTCTGTTGTAATGTTTATGAGACTCCTGCATGTCAGTGAAAAGGAATATCTCATGATTCCTATTGAAATTGGTTATCCACCAACTGATTTTTTTTTTTTAATTTGAGAGGTGTAGAGAAGTTTACTAAGTTTGTAAACACTATTGGAGTGATATTTGAATGAAATTCACTTTATTTATAGGTTTAATTTATTGGGTTTACTCGGATAATTTTTACATGGAGGAAGCATTTGAAGTGCTTGAAAAGAAAATCTATTATATTAAATGTATTCATTCACTTTAAAATGTTTACAATAATTAACTAAATTTATACATGGGACCAAACACTAATCAAAAGACTTCTTTGAAAGTGACTGTTCAAATTTACTAGGATGTCTAACTAGAATAATAAGATTTATAAAATAAATTTGAAATTTACAGAAAATTAGTTTTGTAAAGTTATAATAAATTTAGTATTACTTTTTAAAACTGAAGTAAATGTAAGAAATAATTTCCTGTGTATATAAACCACCCTCAAAGATACCAGAAACCCCTGCCCACCCCCACTTGCTGACAACCAGAACAGCAAATGCCCGGCCTCACATCAGCCACCCTTCTTTCCCAGTTCCACAGCAGACATCACTAATCGCTCCCAGCACACCTTCCTCCTGGGCTGAGGAAGTTGCCTGAATACACCCCCCAAGCCTCCAAGCAGTAATTGCAATCACCTGGAGATGGTAGTGATCCAGGACCAACCAGCCACCACACACGCACGCATGCATCTATTCGTCCACCCGCCAGGAGCCATAGCGGCGGCCTGTAGTCTCTCCACACTGGTGTGGACGCTCCCCAACCCACACCCTCACCAACAGCCCTGCTGGCAGGTAAGGCAGCGATTATTGCCGCCTTGGAAACTGAGGGGCCCCTGAACTGGTCGAAGACGACTCCACCTGGAGCCCAGGTGGCTCCCTTGGCGCAGGGCCCCAGTACCTTCTCCCGCTGGTAGAAGCGGTCAGCTTTTATGATCATGTCCACCAGGCTGATGTGGTTGCTGCGGGCGGCCACGGCCAGGGCGGTTTTCCCTTGCTGCAAGCAGAAGCGAGGAGGGAAGCAGGAGTGTCTACAGGAGGGGTGTAGGTGATCTCTAGCCGGGACTACAAACCCGGCCGCCCAAAGGAAGTGGTTTCCAGCCATCTACACTGGAGAGTAGGAGGGCTTTCTGGTCATGAGGAGGGAGGTGGGAAAGTCACAGGTAGAATAAGCAATAACGATAATTCCAGCCACCGCCTCCTGTGCTCTCTAGAACTTAGGAAGCCTTAGTGCTTATGAAATGCAACCTGCCTGACACTTCTACACCACCTGGGAAATAGCTGTTACCAGCCCGTTTCTCAGATGAAACCAGAGCCCAGAGAAGGGGCTTGGGCTCCCTGAGTCAAGTCTTCCCACTTCCCCCATGCTCCCAGCCCTGTGACCCAGGCCTCCCAATCAGGGCTGGCCTCAACCACCCCCACGGATGGGAAGCTCCTCTCCGAGTTTGGGCAGCTGCCCGGAGGCCCAGCTCAAAGCAGGGAGCCCCTCCCAGGCCCAGCCTCAGAGCCTGGTCCTGCCCAACCCTCCCCACCCCAATCCAAAGGCCTTTTGCAAATAACCTTCCCCTCACAAGCCTCATACTAGGTCTTCACTCTCTCAGACCTCCAGCCACTGAGGATGTAGTCACCCCACAGGCGTGAGGTGCTGAAAAGCTTCCCCCTCCCCACCAGTGACTCAAGGTGCTCAGAGTCTGATGAGGCTGTGAAAACAGAGGGCAACCACATCCTAGGCCTAGAGAACAGGAATGGGGAGGGCCGAGTGCTGAGGGCCCTCAGAGGAGGCGGGGAAAGGAAATGGAGCAGGAAGGCTTCCTGGAGGAAGCTGCATTCGAGGTGGTCTGTAAAGGAGGGGAGGCCCTGACACTCTGAAAGCAGGTGGCCATGGAAGCTTGAAAGGGAGGCTGGTTGTGAGCAGAAGTACCTTATCCCTCAGGTTTAAGTTAACCCCCGCAACCAGGAGCATCTCCGCTATGTCCTGCCAGGCGTGCTCCGCGGCAAGGTGGAGGGGCGTCTGCTGCCTCTGGAAGAGAAATCAAGGGACAGGGAAATGGAAGAGCTTGTAGAAGTGGCCTGTGCTTAAAGCCAGGATAGGACCAAGTGGGTGCACTCCCCAATTGTGCCTTAACAAAGTTTCTCTACGAAGTTACGAGGAAGAGTAAGTTGGGTTTAATCGTAAGCATCATACCAGAGAAAAGTTGGTAAAAACAAAAAAATACTACTCACTAGCCCACCTGTCAACCTCTGTAATGATATTTCTCTAGTCTTTTTTTAAAAATGCAGAATGTTCTTAGTTTGTTGGTTTTACATATTTGAGACCATCCTGAATATGCATACATTTTGCACCTATTTTTATACCTAACATAACACTTTACACATCTTATCAACTCTAATAAACACCCATTTTTAAAATCTTCACCCAAGGATATGTTTGTTGATTTTAGAGAGAGGAAGAGAGAGAGAGAGAGAGAGAGAGAGAGATGAGAGAGAAACATTCATCAGCTGCCTCTTATATATGCCCAGACCGGGAAATGAACCCGCAACTTAGGTATGTACCCTGACTGGGAATCGAACCCACAACCTTTCAGTGTATGGGACAATGCTCCAAACAACTGAGTCCCACCAGCCACGGCACCCACCATTTTTTATAGCTCCACAATAGTCCATGTCAATACTGTAATTTAACCACTTCTCTATTATTAAGTATTTGGCCCATTTTCACACTGAAGATTGATAATGCTGCAATGAATATCTTTGTGCATGAGCTCTTAATATATTTCTTGAAGCTCAATTCTCAGATATAAAAATAGTCACAATTTTAATGGTATACGCTATCTCCTGCCAAATTGCTTTCTTCCCCTAGTGGTGTGTGTGTGTGCTGGCACTGAGGAATACATGGTTAGGAGGTGGATTGAGGGAACAGGGGTTTAAAAGGGCTCCTGACTGATCACAACTTCAGGACTTGGAGGCCTCTTGTAATTACACAAGACTGCCCCAGTCACCCCTGCCCCGGGATTCTCCCTGGGGGGGTGGGGAGGGAGTGTGGGGGAGTCAATGAAAGGAAAAGGTTGAATGTAGGAAAACTTGAAAACAACCAAAATGTTCAAAATAATAGGGGAATGGTTAATAAAAATGATGCTACCACTACCGTCAACAAATCAAGCTATAAAAGCAATGCCTTAGCTTTGGGCCATCTGGTAGACTGCAGCCCAGCCCAGCCAGCCTGGGAGGGTGCCCAGAGGCTCTGTGGGAACCAAGTGGATCCTGTAGCTACTTACATTGTCGGTGGCGTCCAGGTCACTGCCAGCATCGATGAGGAGCTGAACCAGGGAGGGGAAGTTGTGCCTCACAGCGAGATGCATTGGAGAGGCTCCCCGCTGGGGTGAGGGAGACACAAATCAATTGAAGGGTCCCTCCCAGGACTGCCGAGCAGGTGGTGGGTGCTGGGGGGGTGAGAGTAGGGAGGAGCATTGATAGTGCTTCTGGGTTTGATGGGTGGCCTGAGGCATTTACAGTCCCATAGCCTGAATCCCTGGGGTCCAAACACTGAACCTCAAGGTGGGTGGGGACCTGAAGACCCAAGTTGGAGACTTTGCTATACCAGGACCTCACATGGTGGCTTTGGGCAAGTCATTTTCCTTCTCTGCTACTCTTCATCTGGCAAGTGATGTTTGCCAAGGTCCCTTCTAGCAACAACACCTTAGTGTTCTCTCATTTCTCATGTAACCCACACATGAACCTAGAGCAGTGATGGCGAACCTATGACACGTGTGTCAGAGGTGACACGTGAGCTCATTTTTTTGGTTGATTTTTCTTTGTTAAATGGCATTTAAATATATAAAATAAATATCAAAAATATAAATCTTTGTTTTACTATGGTTGCAAAGATCAAAAAATTACTATATGTGACACGGCACCAGAGTTAAGTTAGGGTTTTTCAAAATGCTGACACGCCGAGCTCAAAAGGTTCACCATCACTGTCCTAGAGAGTATATAAGGATGGTACTTTTATTGGTATTTTCATCTTACAAATGGAAACACTGAGGTTCAGAGAACGTATGCAACTTGCCAAAGGACACATAGCTAATAGATACCTTGTGTCATTGAACTTTCAACCCTTAGCACCTCAGTAGATGCCTGGTACCTATTGATGTGTGATATCAACGAAAGAGAGAGCTGGATGTGACTGGAACAGAGATCTCACCCCAAGTCCAGCACTTACCCAAGGCCTTGCTCAAAGCTAGGAGACTCCCTTCCCTGTGGTCCCCTGTGACCCCTGACTGCATGACAAAGTGAAGATACTGCCACTGTATCCCCTCCTCTAGGTCACACACATACTGTGCAATAGTACAAAGCCAGTAAAATTGGTAGTATAGATCTATACTGATTGTGGAAATATTCCCTCACGTATTGAGTATAAAAAGGTTATAAGACAGAACACACACACATGCAACAACAAGAATGCCCACTGTTGCCATCACTAGTTTAGGACAGGGGAAAAACGGTGTATAAATATTAGAAAAGATTTTCCCAGCCAGTGTGGCGCAGTGGTTGAGCGTCAACCCATGAACCAGGAAGTCGTGGTTCAATTCCTGGTCAGGGCAATCGATGATTCTCATTGATGTTTCTATCTCTCTTTCCCTCTGCCTTCTTCTCTGAAATCAATAAAATATATTTTAAAAAATATTAATGATATCATTATTTGTAGGCAATCTGGTTGTTTTCATCTAGACAGGTTAAAATCATTATTACCCTCCCTCCCCCACCCAAAACACTACTAAAATTAATTTTAAAAATCATATAGAAGACAAAAACACTCAAGTAATTGTAATAAATGTAGCTCTCTGGTGGGTGGTGTTGATAATAATGAAGGCTACGAATGTGTAGGGGCAGGGAGCATATGAGAAATCTCTACCTTCTGCTCCATTTTGCTGTGAACCTAAAACTGCTCTAAAAATAAAGTCTATTAAGAGAACCAAACACACCCAGAATGATGAGGCAATATCAAGGGACACAGAAGCCAACTGAAAGGGCTCCCCAATGGTCAAAGCTGAAACACTTGAGCAACAAAGTAACATTGGATTATAAAAGGATCTAAAGAAATAACTCACAACAAAAGAACTTATAAACTAGAAAAATGATTAATGGTTCAGAGTCGATAGTAATCTAAAACAATAACAAGGAATCACTTAACTATAAAATTAACAGAAGAATATCTAATATGGGTGAAAGGTCACTCATAAATGACTGGAAGCTATGTGGTATGACGTTTTGGGAAAGCGATTTAACAACTTGCACCAAATCATAAGATCTTGGTACAGAGCAGGCGTTGCCGCCGCCCCAGGCTGAGGCAGGGTGTGGAGCAGAATCTGACAGTATGAATCAGGACCAGAGCTCGAGGAACAATATTCCACACAGGCTAACCACACAACAAGCCCGCCGGCGGCCGCTGAAATCGATGAAGTCGGTAAAGCAAAACAGAGCCAGAGTGAAAAGAAGGCGTGAAAGGCTGGGTCCAAACTGGGCCTTTAAGAGGTGACAGAGGTTATAAGGGTCATTATCCAGAAATCTAAGAATATCCTCTTCGTCATCACAAAACCAGAGTTCTACGGAGCCCAGCTTCAGACACCTACGTAGTTTTGGGGGGAAGCCAAGATTGAGGATTTATCTCAGCAAGTCCTCCTAGCAGCTGAGAAATTCAAAGTTCAAGGCGAAGCTGTCTCAGACATTCAAGAAAACACAGACTCCAACTGTCTAGAGGAGAGTGAAGAGGAAGAGGCTGATGAAACCGGTGTGGGCGTTAAGACATAGAATTGTTCATGTCCCAAGCACATGTGTCGAGAGCAACGTCAACCCACGCCCTGAAGAACAATAGTAATAATATTGTAAATGCTGTTATGGAATCCACACCATAACCATCTGAAAATGAGGACTTGTTTGTTTGTTTGTAAGGAGTGATTGCTGCTTGGTTTGAAATTTTTTCCGTTTCTATCATTAATAAGCCTTTTTGTGGGATTTTAAAAAAAGAATCATAAATGTTTTTACTACCTGACGTGGGAATCCTGCTTGGAGAACTCATATATAATGCAAAAGAAAGAAAAAGTTATGCCATAAAGATGTTCATGAAATCATTCTTTATAGTTGCAAAGTCAGCACCAACTTAAATGTCCAACGGTTGAGGCTCTGTTAAATGTGATGTGGATACTGGACCACACCTGTCATGGTCAACACCGACAAAATGTCTACCAGGAAAACTGCAGCAACACTGGGCACCTGGGCTCGGGAGACTCCACTGGACTGGAGTCGATTCTGGTGTCTCGATGGGGAAAAACGAATAAGCACCCTCCTTGCAGAAGTCTGCCTTAGCCTGGATTTATTCTGGAGGTGCTACTCATATGAGGAGAAACTGAAAGGGAATAGAGAAAAGTTATTGCTTTACGAGGGTGTCAGGATTAAGGACGCCCCTTTTCTCTCTATTCTAATGAATTGTGTTATACTGTTTTTACAATAATTTTATATTTTTTAAACATATTTTTATGTATTTCAGAGAGGAAGGGAGAGGGAGAAAGAGATAGAAACATCGATAATGAGAGAGTTCATTGATTGGCTGCCTTCTGCACACCCCCAGGGAGGATGAAGCCCGCAACCCAGGCCTGTGCCCTGACCAGAATTGAACCATGAACTCCTGGTTCATAGGTTGGTGCTCAACCTCTGAGCCACACCAGCCAGGCTACAATAATTTTAAATGAGTACTCATTTCAGCCATATGAAATGACCTCTTTCTAATTTAAACAACAGATAGTTTGTGTAATGGGAATAATAATAGTACTTACCGATATGGAAACAGAGGCCTGGGGAGGTCAAAGCTGCTTGCCCAAGGCCATTCAGTTTGAGTGGCAGAGCCAGGCCTCAAAGCCAGGTTGTCTGACACCAAAGTCCAAGCCTTAAGCATAAGGTTATACTGTTGCCTATGGTACACTGCATGTGCCACAACATAACAGGAAACATGTGAACAACCGAGAGGTAAATCTGTAATAAGATCATTCCTGAGACTCCAGGGATAAACGCGAGGAGATACTGCGCTTGGAATGAATGCGAGCTTGATTTCTAGTCCTGTCCCACTGAGCCCTCTTTGACTCTCCTACACGCTGCCAGTTGGCCCCCATCCTAACCCCGATCAATGGGTCATGGAAGACTTTGGGGTCATGGGGGCCCCCTTCATTCCAGGCCCCCACACTTACATGATCAGCCACGTTGGTGCAGCCCCCTGAGTGGATGAGGGCCCGGGCCACGTCCTCAGAGCCACTGAGAGCTGCGTAATGGAGGCAGCTCTGCTGTTTCTAGAGGAAAACAGAAATCAATGCAATGCCCTACGGACCCTTCATAGCAGGTTCACAAAGCACTTAGGGATTCGCTATTCCGTGTTTTCTCATAACCCCTCCCCCCCCTGAGCAAGTTATTTCTCTTTCTGTCCCTCCCCCTCCCTTCTACTCTCTCTGAAAATCAATGGGAAAAATATCCCGGGGTGAGGATTAACAAAAAAGAAAATAATAGCAAAATGGCAAATGTAATAATATCCATGTTAAACCACTCTAAGTATGAATAATGTTTTATAAGCCACAAAACACTTAATGTACGGAGCTCCCTTAGAAGGGGATTATTCTCCCCTTTCAACTCTGAGGCTGGAGAAATCAATGACGTGCCCAGGCCTGGTGACAGTAAAAGGAGCTCACTATGACCTCAGCCTTTCCTGGCCTCCTGTCACAACTCCGGAACACAGGCCAAAGGCTGCACCATCCCTTAGCCGGTAAAGACACGCAGCGTATAGACTCTGAGGAGATGGTTTTCAAAGAAGAGATGAATAAGATTTGCCATACAGGGCACACCCCACCCGGCACGCGTTGCCCAGCGGGATCTGGTCTCAGGGTGTCCCAGCAGGACCTGGCAGGGCCAGCGCGAGGGCTTCATCCTGCATCAGCTTTCTAAGTGCGCTCCTTCAGCAGAGCCCTCTCCTGGCCCAACAAGGATCTCACACAGATACCTCTAGGCCCCAGTGGGTGACCAAGCAAATGTCCCAGTTTGCCAATATGGGGCCAAACCAGGACGAGTTGGTCACCCTCTCAAAGTCCTGCCTGCATGCACAGGGTGGGTGGGAAGTAGCCCGTCTCCCAGGGGGAAATACAATCACATGGGTTGCCCCCTCACCCCCCTCGGAGACCCTGCTGCAAAACACTCAAGGGGTGAGAATTTCTAGATGGAATGTGGCCTCTGCCAGAAACCTCAAGCCAAGGCTGGAGCACAAGGCCCAGAGGAGTGGGCAGCGCCACCCTCACCATGACCATTATCAGCTCCCAGTCTCTCAATGCCTATGCTTTTCCTGTTACAGAGCCCTCCCAGCACTGAGCGCTGTGCTGGCCACAGGGAAAGAGCCTTGCTGACCAAAGAGCGGCACCCGAGGACACAGCTGGGAGCCCTGAGGCAGCTATTTCCCTCTCTGGGCCTTGGTGTCCCCTCCTCCCCCATTCCCCTAGGCCAGTGGGTCCCTTCTAAGGGAGCTCCGTACATTAAGTGTTTTGTGGCTTATAAAACATTACTCATACTTAGAGTGGTTTAACATGGATATTATTACATTTGCCATTTTGCTATTATTTTCTTTTTTGTTAATCCTCACCCCGGGATATTTTTCCCATTGACTTTCAGAGAGAGTAGACGGGAGAGGGAGGGACAGAAAGAGAAACATCTATGTGAGAGAGACACATTGATTGGTTGCCTCCCCATTTCCTAGTTGGGGAAAGAGGCTCAGAGAAGTTAAATAACTTGCTCAGATCACAACAGCTCAGCAGTGGAGAAGCCAAGACCAGCACCTGGGCCTGCTGCCTCAAAGCCTCCGGGCACACAATGTTCTGGAATCTTTGTGGCTGTTACTGCTGACGCGGTTACAGCTCAGCAGCCCAGGGCAGCCGTCCCAGAAACCTCAAGCCAAGGCAACCAATTGATGTGTCTCTCTCATATTGATGTTTCTTCCCCCTCTCTTCCACTCTCTCTAAAAATCAGTGGGCCCAGCCGGCATGGTTCAGTGGTTGAGTGTTGACTTAGGAACCAGAGGTCACGGTTTGATTCCCAGTCAGGGCATATGCCCGAGTTGTGGGCTCGATTCCCAGTGTTGGACATGCAATAGGAAGCCGATCAATGATTCTCCCTCATCATGGATGTTTCTATCTCTCTCTCCCTCTCCTTTCCTCTCTGAAATCAATAAAAATATTTTAAATAAATAAAAATGGAAAAAAATATCCTTGGGTGAGGATTAACAAAAACCTCAGACATGCAATCCAACAAAATAATTACTTGGTTATGTGTAAGATAAAGGAATAGAGCTATTTAAAAGTCCGCTGTCAGCCCCGACCGGTTTTGCTCAGTGGATAGAGCGTCGGTCTGCGGACTGAAGGGTCCCAGGTTCGATTCTGGTCAAGGGCATGTACCTTGGTTGCGGGCACATCCCCAGTAGGGGGTGTGCAGGAGGCAGCTGATCAATGTTTCTCTCTCATCGATGCTTCTAACTCTCTATCCCTCTCCCCTCCTCTCTGTAAAAAATCAATAAAATATATTTTTAAAATAATAAAATAAAAGTCCGCCGTCCGTTGTGGGGAGGCCTGGCTACCTGAGTGAGGGCATTCACGCTGCTCCCCGCCGCCAGGAGGAGCTGCACACAGTCGGGGTGGATCCCTTCAGCAGCGGCGTGCAGGGCGGTCAGACCTTCCTGAAACACACGGGGGAGGGGGAGAGGTATGGGGAGGGCAGGAGGCTGAGGCCAGGACCTGAGACCAGAGGACACCCTCTCCTGCCAGGCTCCAGGGCTCCGAGCTCTCCACTGCCCTGCTCCCAGGACAATGGCTCCATTATCTGCGGTTCCCTAATCCCGCCCCTGATTGTCTCACTCTGAGGGACGGGTGGTCCATTCACCCCCTCCGCCACCCCTCTGCTCAGGCTCTCCTGCCCTCCAAGCAGCCTCACCCCGCTCTCAGTCCATTCCCTCCTCTTCCAGGAAGCCGCCCCTGCCCATCCTGGTCACGAGACTCCTCCCTTCTGTGAGCACACACCCTGGGCATGGCTTCCTGGTAACCCCTCCTGCCTGGTGCCCCACTAAGCCTGGAGTTTTGTGCCCCGGCTTAGCTTTTCCTGGTGGGCTGCTGGGTCAAGAACAGATCCTCAGCTGCCAGCTTTAGGGCCTCTATCGGGAAGGCAGAGAGTGAGTGTCACCCATTTCTGCATCATCCAGGTGGCAACTCACCACATTCCTCTCCTCCAAGTCCAGCCCGATGTCCACAAGTTGCTGCAACACAGCCAGGTGGCCCCGGCCAGCGGCCAGGTGCAGAGCCGTGTTCCCTTCCTGCAAGAAGGGGCCGGTAGAATCACACACCTTCCAGGCTCTGAGGGCCTGCGAGAGCCACCCCTTGTTTTATAGACATGGAAACCGAGGTCCAGAGAGGGGAGGTGACATCTCCAGGGTCACAGAGCAAGTCCATGACACGCTGCGGCCCTGAATGCCGGGCCAAAGCCATCCTGCTCCTGAGAATTGTGCCAAAGACTATAACCAGGGCACTTCCAAGGGCCGAGTCCTGGTCTCTCTTTTTTGGACAATTCAAGGCAGACACATACTTAAAAAAAAAAAAAAAATCCCTACTTTCCATGCTCCTGTCTAAAACTGGCCCCTCCCTGGGGACTGCAGACCACCCACCCTCCTTCTGCTCAAGGCCAGGACCCCAGCCACTGCGCCTTGCCTTTTCCCAAGACATTATTAGCTTCTCATGGAATACTGTGGCCCACCCTGACCACACATTTAAAACTGGAACCCCACCCCTGTCCTCCCGATCCCCTCATCCTGCTCGACGTTTCCTTCTTCTCCGTAGCACCGCCGGCCTTCTCAGACCTTTGTGATTTCCTTGTATCCCATGCTCGTGGCTTATTGTCTGACTCTATTGGCAGAGCATCAGCACCACAGGGTGGGAGTTCTGTCCATTTTGTTCTCTGGGTCCCCCGAGTGGCTAGAATAGGGCCCGGGCACACGGCACACTCTCAATAGACATTTGTCCAATGAGTAAATAATGTGATGGGAGCTTCCCGTTTGCCTCCTGGCACTTGAGAGCCAGAGGCCTGGCAGTCGCCTCCCATGTGAGAAGTCCAACGGTGACCGTGATGGAACCAGAGGCTCCATGCGGCGGGGCAGAAGGCACATGTTCTTTGTATTAGAAGTCCCACGAGGGCAGCCTGCTTGGGGTTATCCTTAAAGGGATCTCACTACGAAGGACAGCTGGAAGGAGGGTGCAGGGCCCCAGCAAAGAGGAGGACAGCCGGAAGCGGCCAGAGATAAGTATGTCCCTAAAGAGGAACCACAGATGGAAGACCAGGGCAAGGTCCCCTGAGGGGCCACAGAAGCGTCCAGAAGGGAAGATGCAGCCTTGGCCATTCCTCACACCCCAAAAGCCCCTGGGACACCTCTCGCTGAACCAGTCATAGGGGCCTCCTCACTCAGGCTCCTTCCTCGCGCTGGCCTGTCTCACTGCCTTCATGAGGGGTGGACATTCCCATTTAAAGGACACAGATCTTTAAAGGGCTCGAGGAGGATGTGAACATATACCAAAGCCAAAGCAGTACTTAAAAGAGTTAAAAACATGCCCCACTCCCCCATCGTAGATCCACACGTACATAAAACAACTATAACTATCTTATGGGATCAAAGGTGAAACATTTACATTTCTTTTATGATGACAGTTACATCATATTAATAAACAAAAAAACAAGTTTTAAAATCCCAACAGCTTTGTTCTGCTTCTCTCCCACCTCTCTGCAAATGTGCATTTAGCGGCCTAGTCAGCTCTCCGCAGCAACAAGGATCAGGCTGGGAATATGGCCATAGCGTGAAGTCTCTGTGACCAAAGAAATGCAAACGCGCTGACATGTGCCCCCAGCTAGCAGGGCAGGGCTTTCTTCTTCCTTCTGGGCTATAAATATCCACATCCTGTCCTTTGAAGCCGCAGGTGGCAGGGACCCCTAAAAGGGCACTGGAATTCTGCCCGGGCAGGACAGGGGGCTCAGGGGCAGGAGAGCCTGGCGATAGAGGTGTGGCCTGGGGCCCATGACCTCTGCCCTCTGCAGCGGGGATGCCCCACCTCTCCACCTCTCAGAGGCCCTATCAGCATCTCCTCAATGTACCCAGTGGAATCAATCACTTCCTCTGGATGCTCAAAGCCTCTCTACCATCACAGCACCTGTGGCATAACGTGTGTTGTCACTGTATGTCATTGTGTTGTCTGACAGGTGGGATAGCAGGAGTCAGACCTTCAGTAGCCCAGAGCCTTGAAAAGCTCTCTCTGCTGCCCTCCCCAGATGAAATACAAAATGAAAATATTCCTCATCTGAGCATTCAGAACTTCACAGGGGTGTGCAATTTTAAATGCTTCTTTCTAGAATTTCTGATAGCAGGCTTCTGAGCAAGTTCATCAAAGCTGGGCTAGTCGGGCCGGCATAGCTCAGTGGTTGAGTATTGACCTATGAACCAGGAAGTCACGGTTCTATTTCTGGTCAGGGCATATGCCCCGGGTTGTGGGCTGATCCCTAGTAGGGGCGTGCAGGAGGCAGCCAATCAATGATTCTGTTTCATCATTGATGTTTCTATCTCTCTCTCCCTCTCCCTTCCTCTCTGAAATCAACAAAAATATATTAAAAAAAAAAAAAAAGCTGGGTTTTTCTCGTTCTCTGGTTTTGGTGCTCTTGCTCTCCTGGGCCCTGAGTGAAATCTTCTTGCTTCCTGAGTAATGTGTCCTGGCAGGGGCTGTCCTTTCGCCCTCTCTGTAATCCTGCTTCCTGGCTCAGTGCCGGGCACAGAACACAGCCATTTCCAGCCATGTTTCCAAAATGAAGCAAAGCACCCTAATCGGAGTCTCGGACCCCACTCAGCCTTTTCATCCCAAAGGATGAATGCAGACAGATGAATGCAGTGCAGACCTGAGGGCTCAGTGCCCCAGGAGGCAGCCCAGTGAGAGGAGGAAGCACAGAGCTAGGCATCAGGATGCCGGCTCCAAACCCAGCTTGGCCTTGGCCTTGGCCTCGCTGTGTGACCCAGGCCAAAGCAGTCCCCTCCCTGGCTCTCAGTTTCCACATCTGTGAAGTGAGAAGGTTGAACTGGCCCCCGATGAAGATGCCTTCCAGTTCTAAAACCCTGCGATATATTTGTCTGTGAGCTCTCTGGCCCCTAGCATAGAAACAGGACTCCTATTCTGACCAAGCACATTAATCAGAAGATTAAAAACGGAGTTCATCTCTTTGTTAGAAGCATTGTTTAGACTCTGCTGCAACATATTTGCCTAATGCAGCGGTTCTCAACCTGTGGGTCGCGACCCCTTTGGGGGTCGAATGACCCTTTCACAGGGGTCACCTAAGACCACCGGAAAACACATATATAATTACATATTGTTTTTGTGATTAATCACTATGCTTTAATTATGTTCAATTTGTAACAATGAAATTGGGGGTCACCACAACATGAGGAACTGTATTAAAGGGTCGCGGCATTAGGAAGGTTGAGAACCACTGGCCTAATGATTTGCAATGGTCCATTGATAGGAGTCATTTGCAGGGTAGTCCTTCCAGTCCCCATCCCTCACTCCTCAGATTCATGAAGTGCTCCCTCCTCAGTGCTCTCACCCTACTTTTGCCGTAATCACTGTAGCTTACTAAACCACAAAGAAAGCAAATGACCACAGGAGGGTGGCTACCATCCCCCTAACTCTTCCCACACCCCCAACAACAGATGTTCCCAATGGAATCACAGTCCGCTCATACCCACCCCGGGCAGCGCTGCCAACCAATCCGATTTGCCATCCTGACTCCCCATATTAGATCGTAGCTCTTTACTAGGACTGTGGCACTGTGTTCCTTGAGTAAGAAACTGTCTCGGGCATCTCTGTGCCCCTCACCTGTAGCAGAGTTGGCCCAGAGAGTGTGCCCAAGAAACGCCTGCTGGATGGACATCAGACACACTCTGGTCTTTGGGCTCCTGCCCCTCCAGCAAGTTAGAGGCAGAAGTAGGCCCAGATGAGCTGCCAGCACCCACCCCTCTGGAGCCCAGCACCTGGGACCTGCGGTCACAGTACCTTGTCTTTGACACTGTGGTCACAGCCAGAGCCCACCAGGAAGTCCAGAGCCTCCAGCTGCCCATGTGCAGCCGCCAGGTGAAATGCTGTCCTTCCCAGCTGACGGGAGGGAAGAGAGTGAACTTTTACGCTCTGTCCCCCGGCCTCTATTTCCCCAACCACGCCAGGCTTGCAGTGGCTTCTCCTGACCCAGACACGCTCCCCTCTCCTGGCCCCACACACTCAACTTCCCAACAAGACCCCACTAGGGGGTCCCTCCCCCACTGACACCCTCCTGTGGCTCCCAGCTGCCTACTGAGTAAGGGACAGAGTCCTGAGGCTGGGGGTGAAGAACTTCATGAGGGACCCCAGCCCTCTGGCCCTCACTCCCAATATTCTGACCCACCTGAACTCACACACAAAGGGCCCTTTCCACCTCTAACTCTCTAGGATGCTCTCTCCTCCATTTGGAACAGCCCCCTGCTTTCCAATCTTATTGACAGAATTCAGTTCATCTACCAAATGCCACCTCCTCCAGGAAGTGGAAAGCAGTGGCTTCCCTCTCTAACATGTCTAGTCCTTATTAGAGCCTCTCCGACGGAACTAACCATATTTCTGCTGTGTCTTGCTCATTTGTGCCCTAATGTCCCTTCTAGACCCGCAGCTCCCTGAGGCGGGGTCCAGTCTGCACCAGCCATAGCTCCAAGGACACACCTGAGGAATGGGCACGAGTGGCCCTAGGAGCTCCGGGCCCAATGGAAAGGACAGGCTGGATGCCACCCTCACCTTGTCAGCACGGTCCAGGGCCACGTCCTCCAGGTCTTCCATGATGAACGCCAGCACCGGCACGTGGCCTTTCTGGGCTGCGCAGTGTAGTAAGGTTAGGCCGTCCTGAAACAAGCCCAGGGTGGTCCCTGCAGTCTGGAACGGAGACCCTTCTCACGCACTGTGAGGAAGGGGGTCTCCTGGCCCCACAAGCACGTCAGTGAGGGAGGTTTGCAAATGCTGTGTTGACAGCCCAGAGCCTCTCCCCTGGCCTCCCATTGCAGCGGGAGTGTTTAAAGCACTGCTGTTCAAATAGATTGCAACCATCAAGGGGTCATAAAAATCAATAGAACAATGTCTTACATCTTGACAGTGGTTTGGGTTATACAGGAACAGCTTTTGTCAAATCTCAGAGAGTATAAGTTTAAGATTTGTGTATTTCCTTGTATGTAAGGAAATTGAACCCTACTTAATGATACCCACACTGAAGGGTTTTAAAGGGAAAGTCCCCTCTACTGTGTATATTTTTTTTAAATGCATCCAAAATTTATAAAGAACTCTAAAACTCATCAATGAGAAATTAAACAACACAATTATAAAATAATTTGGACATCAAAGTATAGGGGAGGCAAATGAGCACATAAAAAGATATCTGACATCATTAGTTGTTATTGAAATGCAAATTAAAACCACAAAGAGTTTCCAACAATAGACTATGGGAAGGGGAAAATGCTAACATTACAGTGGAGAAACCTGGCCGTCTCTACTTTAACTAACTGATGAAGAGTGATATTGTGGTTTATAATTAGAAATATATATTTGGTCTTTATCCCTCTTCCTTGAACCGAGCTCCTAAAACCTTTGAAATTTCCTAAGTGGTGAAAGCGTTAAAGGTGTCTTTTATTATGTTAATGAGGTAACTGTAAAAAAAACCCTAGGTAACGTCAGGTTGGGGCCTGGTTGCCTGGGGAACCAACCTTGATTAGAAGGTTGAAACTTTGTCCCTGACATGCAGGGATGGAGAGGACCAAAGGTTGAGTCAAGCACCAATGGCCAAGGATTGCCTCACTCATGTCTATGTAACGAAGCTCCACAAAGACCCAAAAGGAGGGAGTTCGGAGAGCTTCCAGTTGGTGAACCACAACGCATCCGTGTGCTGGGCCCCACACTCCACGAGGACAAGACGCTCCTTTGTTCGGGACCTGACCCTGTTATGGATGAAAAGGGGGCACACGCTAACCTGACAAGCTCGGGGAAGGCCTGCGTGGTGACCTTGCAAACTCAGAGACCTAAAGCAACCACAAAGGATGGTCTGAAATGAAAGCTTTTTAAAATAAAAAGCCATTTATGATGGGTAGTCATGTCCTAGGCCTGTATCTTCCCTGACAAAGATCAACTTTGACCTTAACTGAGCCTATTGTCTTTTTGCATCTACGATAACATACGTTTAGAATGTCAGGGTAACTTCCCTTTTTCCAGACCTCTTAGGGCACAGCCAATGCACCAGGAGGAAACCACAGAGTCCCTCGCTGTTACTGTTCTCCTGCTAATTGTTGACTGTTAACTAGCCTGTGCCCACCTTGTAAAAGAAGCATGTGTCTATCATTTTACTTTTTATCCAATCCCAGAGGTTTCCCAGCTTTGCTTTCTCCCACCTCCCTAATCTATCACCAATGGATTTCATGTAACCCACTTACATCTCCTCTTGATTGTAGTGTATAAAACAAAGTGCAAAAGTGCCATTCTCGGCAGCATTATCTCAATCCATTGAGATTCTGCTTCCTGGCAATTGTCACAGTTTGGCTCAAATAAACTCACAAAAATTCTTCACAGGTTTGAATGTTTCTTACGTTAACATTATGTATCTCTTCATCTGGTTAGTGATTCATATCCTTTAATATCCCTTATAATGAACCAGTAATCTAGTAAGTAAATGGGTTTCCTGAGTTCTGAGAGCTGCTCTAGCAAATTATTCAAACCCGGGGAGGGGTTCGTGGGGAGCCCAAATAACAGGCTGGACTTGGGGTGGCGTCTGAAGTGGGGCAGTCCTGCAGGGCTCAGCCCTCAGCCTATGGAATATGATGCTGTCTCCTGGTAGATAGTGTCAGAATTGAGTTAATTTGGTGGGACCCCTGGTCAGTGTCTGTGGAGAATTGAGTTAATTACTTGGTGGCATGGAAGAACCACACACATAGGAACTGGTGGCAGAATTGGATCAACGTAACATGCCAGTGACCAATCATGGTGGTGTCATCTGCCCCCTGATAGCAGGTGAGAAAGGAACTTGACCTCTGTGGTCTCCTTCCCAAAATTCTGTCACCCCAATCTAATCATCAGACAAGCCAAAATGAAGGACTTTCTACGAAATACTTGACCAGTGCTCTTCAAAAGTGTCAAAGTTGTGAAAAACAAGGAAAGACTGAGAAATTGTCACAGGATTAGAGGAGACGAGGGAGATAAGACAACTAAGTGCACTGTAGAATATTAAGTTTTTTTTAAAAACAAAACTGATGAAATTTGAATGCCGTCTGTAGTTTAGTAAAACTTGAAATGTCACCAATGACTGGCAAGGTACTGATGACCTCTGACCCGGGCCACAGCTCATCTCACAGTGAGATGAGTACCTTTGGGGAGGACCTTGAACAAGGGATTGAAAGTAAGACTGGTGGACTGTTTGCAAAGACGGCTGCTACAACTCTCCCCCCCCCCCCGCCCCCACCGCCCTTGGCAACACCCTAAGGGGCTGTACTGCTCTTCTCAGGGGGAAGCCAGCTCTCTCATCCCCCGAACCTAAGCTGGCCCTGTGACGGGCTTTGAGCAATAGAATGAGGTGGACACACTATCATGTGACTTTCCAGCCTTGGCCTCAAGAGACCATGCCACTTCCACCCCTGCATTCACCCATCATTGAAAGAAATGCTAAAATCTCAAGCAGAGGTCTGACAGAAGTGAAATAAGATGTTCTTTTCCCATCCAAATCCCTGGGCCCCTGAAGTCTACGGATCCAGGTTGAGAAGCCCTGGCTGACAGCATGTGGCCAAGATGTTTCCTTTTTTTTTTTTTTTTAGAACCACTGTGCAGGGGTTCCAGGCACTCTACCTGGCTGGGTCCTCCTTTAAACCACAAGGGTTTGTGCCCTTATGACAGCGAGGGACTGCTGGGCTCCCTGACACTGCCCCAGATAATATATGCACAGCACTGCACGTGCTTCTCCCACAGCTCGGGGGTGGGTACCAGCATCCCCATTTCCAAAGGGGAAAACTGAGATTCAGCGGGTAGAGTAACTTGCCCAAAGATCCCAGAGTTTGGTAACCAGTGCTTTCTCCTACCCAGCCACCCTGAGCACAAGGGAGGCAGGGTCCCCACCTCCCTCTCAATCTTCCGACCACCCTCTGAGGGTGTTACTCGTATTCCTCTTCTGTGAATGAAGAGGCTGGTCAGACAACTGGGGACTGTCATAGCATCTAGAGTGGTAAAGGATGAGGGGATCAGAAGAAAGAGGGGTTCAATGTTGATGGAAGAGGCACCTCTGGCCCTTCTCCAAGTGCCAGTGGGAGCAGCAAGGGTCCCAGTTTCACAGGGTTGAGCTCAGCTGGGTTTTCAGGAGGCAAACTGGGGCAGGCAGAGGCATGTAAGTGGGACCAAAGGGGGCAGCGATAGGGCAGGTGTCAGGGGTGGGGCACACCTGTGCAGTTGGGTCAGGGGACAGAGGGGGCAGGGGCAGTGGGGTCCAGCGGGCTGCCAGTTGAGGCCTTACCTTGTTCTCACAGTGGATCTTGGCCCCTGAGTTGACCAGGATCTGAAGAATCTGTAAGTGGCCAAACCAGGCAGACAGGAGAAGTGCATTCATCCCAAACTAGGGGAGAGGACACGGGAGGAGGGGAGGAGAATGTGAGGAGGTGTGGCTGCTTTGCAAAGTCACACAACCGTAAGAGACCGTAAGTGCCACCCAGGCCAAGGAGCGCCCAGCTTTAGGAATTTAAAGTCCAGGACATTTTTAAAAATAGAGGCTGATATACTATTGCAAACTTTCAGGGTAGGGGAGGTTGCTGAATAAAACAGCTGCCATCTACTGTCACCATCATTTTATAAAGAGAGACCATTTTAACACAAACAATTTGGAGGGAGCCAATCTCAGAATATACTCTTTCCAAATACAGCTTTTAAAAAACATGTTTTTATTGATTTTTAGAGAGAGGAAGGGAGAGGGCGAGAGAGATAGAAACATCAACTGACTGCCTCTTGAACGCCCTCTACTGGGGATCGAGTCCACAACCTGGGCATGAACCGGTGACCTCCTGTTACATGGGTCGAATGCTCAACCGAGCCACACCAGCCAGGGCAATATTTAATTTTAGACTCTTAAATGTATCCCTATCATATGTCATTGTCAGATGCAGCCCCTTCCACAAACCTGTAGAGCTAATTTTGTAGATCCTGCTACTTTTCAGTGCTCAGCAATGTGCTGCTTGCCAATTTGCTAGTCTTTGTGCAAATTGTTGGTTAAAGGATTAGACAGGACAGGGCCCTGTGGCACAGCAAGAGAGACCTGCCTTCTGGTGACTTTACTAATCCACTCAGTTATCTGCCCATATCTCTCCCAGCCCACATGATAGCAGGAGGAACTGAAAAGGCTCTCTGAGCATTGAAAGGCCCTTGAAGATGGAGAGAGCTCTATGACTGGACAAGGGGTAAAGGGAACCACTGCAGTGTCAAAGCCTCTAAAGACTTAGACTCCCTGCCCATCTGCACCTGTGCATCTGCATTTGTTTTACATTGCTTAATAGAGCAGTTTTAATGTGTTAATTGATAACAGTCTGAACATTAATGTCTCAAACAATCTAGTTGGGAAGACAGGAACCAGATAATTATCATCCAGTCAATAGTCATTGAAATTCATCCTGTCCTGAGAGAAGGACTCATATACTGACTGCTTTGAGGGGACTTTTCAGAGTAAAGGTTGCATACAGGTTTGTTTTGGGTGGGTTTGTTTTGTTTTGTTTTTTTCCAAAAACAACAAAATGCAAGAGGGGATTTAACACAAACAGAAGATATTTTTTCTGTCTCATTGCCACAAGCCAAACTCTCTTCAGCACCAGGTTAAAGAGAGGGAGGCTAGCCAGCCACTGTAGTAACTACACATCTGATTCCAAACGCTTCAGGCAATTGTTTAACCTTGGCAACGACAGCTGCTCATAGATCCAGAGTGAGCATCCCCACCCTGAGACAGACAGACAGACAGACAGACAGACATGCACACACAGACACGCCTCCATAGGGGTCCCGTACCGCATCCTCATCGTCCACAGCAGCCTCATGTTCCAGGAGCAGCCGCACAGCTTGCTCGTGCCCTGCACCTGCGGCCCAGTGCAGGGCTACCCTGTCCACCTGCCAGGAGTGAGAGGAATCCTGTGAGGCACTGGCTGGCTGCCTGGTCCACCTCCCCCACCTTCCCCACCACCCCCACCTTCCCCACCACCAGGCCAGGAAGCTGGTCTACAGCACGGGAGGCCTTTGCTGGCTCTGGTGACCAGTGACTGGGGCCCCAGCCGCATCCTGGTCCCTTCCGCCTCCAAAGGGCAGCAGCTGAAATGCATGTAGTAAAACACAACAACTAGATCCATCTGTCCCCCACCTGCAACTCTTCACAGCTCCCCACTGCTCCTGGGACAAGCTGCATGGCCTGGCCCTGCCTACCACTGCTTCTCAGAAATACCAGCTTCCCCACTCCAAGTCTGTTCCTGTGGCCTGTGGCTTTTCTCCACGTCCCTGAGGGTCCCTGAGGGCCTGGATTCTGTCCCCTCTTTCCCTGAGAATGGGTCTGAAGGCCCCTGACCCCCCAACTAGTTCTCACACCACCTTGGCGGTTTATGATGGCATCTGGCCCTCGGCACATCCGAGCAGGCCTGGTGGAAGCCAGTGTCCCTCCATAGTTTTCTGCTTGTGAGGTGACAATGAAAGAAACACTAATTTTCGGAGTGGTGTCTCCGCCTGGAACACTGTCCTTCTTCACTGGCTCCTACAAAAACGCCTCTTCCTCAAGAAGCCTCCCCGTCCCTCAGGTGGGACAGACCCCTCCGACCCCCATGGAGCTCAACTTACCACCATGGGAATGAACTGTTTGTGACACTCAGTGTAATGTCAGTTCTCCCCCACTAGACTATCAGCTCCAAGAGGACTGCATTGTGGGTTTTGCTCTATCCCCAGCACCTAGCACAGTGCTGGCACGGAGTAGTAAGCCCTTATTGATTAAATGAATCAATGAATGAGTGAGTGAGTGAATGAGTGAATGGCATTAGCATCCTATCATCCAACAAATCCACGCTTCCTTGCTAGTGCTTGTCCAGGAGTTGAGACCAAGGCTCCAGTCATCAATAACTCGCCGTGTGACCTAAGCTTACTTGCTGCCCCATCTGTACCTGCTCTAAAATATGAACAGGACTAACACTTTCTGCCCCACTCCCCTCTCTAGGGGAGAGTGAGGATCACCAGGAAACAGGTGGATGAGTGCTCTGAAAACCTCAGAAATCTGTGGGGAGCTGATATAGGGTTAAGCCTTGGACTGACCTGTGGGCAAAGTCATAAACAATTCCCAGCTTAGAGAGCACAGTCCTCTTAGCATAATTAGGCTTGACCTTATAAAGCTCCCTAGATCTTACTCGGGAAGCTAATGGGCTGAGGGAAGTGCAACAAGAACAAAAACAAGTGAAACTTACAAGAGCAGTGTAAACAAGTGAAACTTACAAGAACTGTGTAACTATGGAAACCACTACCTTATTTACCGCTCACTATAAAATAAAGGCTCAGCTGGCCTTGGGATCTTTCTCTGTGGCCTCAGCCAGGCACAGGGAAGATCCACGGAGACTAAGGAAAGCTAGAGAGTTCTGAACGCTGTCTCTGTGTAAATCATTCTTCGCCGACTCCGTCCACACTTTTGGGAACCCCTGGACCGCTGGGGCTGGACCCCGGCATTTGGCGCCGAACAGGATTCCCCTAGGTAAGCCCCCCCCCCCGCCCCCGCACTTGGGACGGATAGGACTCCACCGTAGGGTGCTGCAGACCCCCCTGTAGAGGATAAGTAGGGTAAGTGGGTGGATAGTACAGAACTTAGATTGAGAAGATGTGCCATACTGAGTCTAGAAGAAAGAATACTCTGTATTGATCTTTAGAATGAGAAGATGTGCCATACTGAGTCTAGAAGAAAAAAGACTCTGTATTGATCTTTTAACATGTCCATGCTTTTCTGAGGAAGGAAAGGTGCCGGAAAGGTAAATGTAGAGGCATGGGAGAAGGTAGGCCCCACTGCAGCCTTTCCACCCCGGGAAAGTGCAGGATTGGCAAGCTCTCCCTGGGGTGATAGATCAGGACTCAGGTAATAGCGGAAAGCGCCAATCCTACTCTTAAAATGGATACAAGAGAGCATTTGGGGTTTTTCTTTATAATGCCTGTTTTGGATTGAGTAAGTGGATTTTACTTAGTTTTAACATATCAAAGTTAGCTCTTGACACAAAAGGAAAAACTAACAGTTTGGCTTGAAGTTGGGGTTTTGTTTTGAGGTGCTGAGGCTCGGAGGTGGAGCCAATTCACAGTAGAAATGTGAAGCTGCGGCTTTTGGGGTTGAAGTGGGAAGTTGTGAATACAGAGGAGTATGTATGTTTATATATGGTCAGAATTCCATCAATATAGACCTTGTCTATAAAAACAAAAAAGGGGGAGAAGAATGTTATATGTTAAATTTTTAAAAAAATATGATGCAGAGGGTTGTACAGCAGCCAAAAGGCATCGGGCCTCCTGTACAATAGCCTCTGCCGACTCAGCCTGGTAGAAGGACACACAAACCAGACAAGAGTTTTACCAGATCTAGTAATGATGTGGGGAAGAGGTTGTGTTTTGTATCTTTCCAGAAGGAGCAGCCTCTGCCTCCCTCCTGGGGACCGTCACGCCTGGGAGGCCGAGTCAGCACACCTGACCAGTGCCCGTCTGCAGCAGATGTGCAGCCCTGAGCTGGAACCACCTGTCCACTGGGAGGATCACATGTACCTCCTTTTTGTCTGTCCTTATTTCCCAGCTTTGCCCCACATCTCCTTTCCTTTTTCTTTTTTTCTTAATCTGACCACTTGTTTGCTGGTTCTTTGGCCTTTCTCCTTCTCTCCTGAACACAGCCTTTTCTAGAATCTCCCTACCCTACTGTTCCAGGAAGGGCACCTCCCTTTTCTGCCATGACTGGGGGTGTTTGGTATATGCCCCATACGTGGAGTTGTCTTGTGCCAAGAGCCTGACATCCTGGGCTGAGAAAGCCCTGTCCTGGGACTCTCCTTTGTCCTATATTGGCCCCTCTTGCCCTTGTGTCAAGAGGGACCCTCTTCTCACAATCCAATTGCCCACAGCTGTTGCCTGAGTTCTCTGTTAATGCTGAGGTCACGGTGGCTGGTACCATGGATCTGTCTCTCGCCCAATGGAGTGAGCTGGGTCCTCTCTGGAGAAGAAACCTGGGTTCCCCAAGCTATGTGATCAATGCCGAGACCCCGCCAGCAGGCGAGGGGATCCAAAGGCAGTTGCTGGGCATGGAGGCCACAGGGGCATAGGCTACCAAGGAGACAGAACTGAACCTCACATCACCCTACTTGGCCCAGAGATGGCTGGTAGTCAACGATGGGTAAGACCCCACAGGGTGAGGCAACCTAAGACAGGCACAACCGGGGGCCAATAGGAGAGAACTTGGGGTTCAACAGAGGTGGGGCACAGATCCTCACCCCCCCCAATGGTGCAGGGGCTTGAACACTCGCCCCTTCTGAGGAAGGTCTCCTGCCCCCATGGCTGCTTCTCGCTTCCCATGTCCAGCCCAGATAGGGACCCAGATAACAAATAGAGACTTGGCCCAGCTCAGATCGGGAACAGAAAGAGACTTGGTCCAGCTGAGATCAGTACCTAGATAAGAGACCTGGCTGACAGCAGCTTCCCTTTCACTGCAACAGGACATGTTTCCCATTTCTACCTTGGACCACAGGGAAAGGGGCAACTGAAAGAAAGGGCTGGGGCAGGATGCTGCCTTCTTCCTTTTCTTCTTCCTCTTTTTTCTAAACACTTCCATGCCTTGTAGTTCTTTTGCTTTCTCTTCTTTTTCTCTACTACCCTCCATCTCCGCCTCATCCTCCTCCTCCCCAGTATCATCCATATCAGCTGACCCAGAGGGCACAGCTGACTCCTCCCCGGACACTGACACCACCATCAAACGCGGCTCTGATGGACCCTTTGATCCAGCCGTACAACACACTGACACTTTGGGAAGCCCGTAGCCATTAACGACACCCGCTAGCCAGATCAACAAGGACAACCAAACCACCGACTTGGGGTCAACTGAAGAAGTTAACAACTGAGGCCCAGCAGATGGTAGAAAAGCAAGAAGTGGAAGCTACTCTCTCAGCCAAGTCAGAGGACTCTGAGTAAATTGGCAAAAGAGACTTTCATTTGGTAGAAAAATGTTACTGTGGTTTGATTTTTCACTTATTGCTGTTTTGCATTGCCATTGTTTTATTATTCTTACTAGTTTCAAAAATGTTATGTTCAAATTTTAAAATGTTTTAGGTTTTGCATTGGCATTGTTTTGTTATTGTTTTAATAGCCAGAGTTTTGTTCTTGATGCTTAAGTTTGATGCTTAAATTTTACTGTCATTATGGTAGCTTAAAAAATAAAAGAAGGGTGAGATGTGGGGAGCTGATATAGGGTTAAGCCTTGGACTGACCTGTGGGCAAAGTCATAAACAATTCCCAGCTTAGAGAGCACAGTCCTCTTAGCATAATTAGGCTTGACCTTATAAAGCTCCCTAGATCTTACTCGGGAAGCTAATGGGCTGAGGGAAGTGCAACAAGAACAAAAACAAGTGAAACTTACAAGAGCAGTGTAAACAAGTGAAACTTACAAGAACTGTGTAACTATGGAAACCACTACCTTATTTACCGCTCACTATAAAATAAAGGCTCAGCTGGCCTTGGGATCTTTTTCTGTGGCCTCAGCCAGGCACAGGGAAGATCCACGGAGACTAAGGAAAGCTAGAGAGTTCTGAACGCTGTCTCTGTGTAAATCATTCTTCGCCGACTCCGTCCACACCTTTGGGAACCCCTGGACCCCATGGGGCTGGACCCCAGCAGAAATCCTGTTACTATTACTGAGTCCCAGGAAGGCTCTGGAGACCCAGGTCATACCCTTGTCGTGTCACCCGGACAGAGCAGCCTCTGCTGGGGTCAGAAATCCTACATCCAACCTTTTCAGCCTCCACTGACTAGCACCCAAGCTGGCATCTCCTCTAAGGTGCTCCTGACAGCCAGAGCCCCGAGGCGGGGGGTGCTACCCCAGTGGTACTCAGGCCTATCCTCAGTGTCCCCCACCAGAAGGAATGGCTTTGCCCTCTGTCCTCTTCCCCAGCAGGGCTGTGGACCGCCTCACCTGCAGCCTTCCCAGAGGCCTGATCAGCTGGGCTGATCTGCCTCCCAGCCTGGTCTTTGAGTCCCTGAGGGCAGGCGAGGGCCCACAGCAACTTGACACATTCAGTGGGCACAGAGGGCCCTCAGAGAATTGAGCTGAACGGCTGCCTCATGCATGCTCAGCCTCTCTTGGTCTGGTCTCTCTTGGTCTCAAACCCCTGGACTTCTGACCTCAGGCATCACTCCACCTTTGTCCCTCCAGGTTCTGCTCCTACCTGCCTATCTGTCAGCCTCTGACTCCTGACCTTCCTTGGGTATGCCTTTCAGATGGATCACAGTATCTGTATTATAAAAGGCCTGTGGCCCTAATGACTGGTGTGGGTGGGCGGGGCTGCAAGCATGGCGAGGCCTCGCGGGTGGGCGGGGCCGCACTCTGGGTTTCTAGTCTATAATAATAAAAGTGTAATATGCTAATTAGATCGGACAGCCAACAATCTTCTGGATGTCCTTCTGAACAACCTTCCGGATGAAGCTGGGCTGCATCAGGACTCTAGTAACTTATAAGAGTATAAGTTCTGGAATTGCCCAAGTCTGGCTCAGAATTCTGACCCTGACCTTGGTGAGGCCTCAGAGACCTTGAGACAATGTGGACAACCTGCAAATGCAGATACAGAGGCAGACACCTTAAACTCTCCCTCCTGGGGGGAGGCGTCCCGGCCACACTGTGCCCATCCCTCCGGAGCTGGAGGAGCCTGTTTACGCACATGGTTTCTGGCCCTAATGTTGACTCTGCTTCTGATCAGCTCCTTCATCCTCCCGATGTTGTTCCTTCGGGCAGCCTCGTGGAGCTGCCTCTCCAGAGGAAGCACTAGGGGAGAAAAAGGGAAGTGGGGTGAGAGTGAGGGTCCCACACTGCATACCAAGGTGCAGCGAACAGCCCCTCCCTGGCCCTGAATGTTTCCTGGGCTGGGGTCTTCCAAAGGAATGGAGCGTGAGGGGGATGCCATACGTCGGGACTTCCCTAGACAGCTTGCGTGTCCTTCTAACTCACCACAGGTCCACATGGCCAGGACTCGGCCAAACCCTGAACATGGGAGACCATGGGCAAGACCATCCACAGAGCTAGGTGTGTGCCCCTCACCCGTTAGAGGTGCCCCATCACCCAGGCTTCATGTCTGCTCTCCCAGAGCTGCTCTTAAGAAGGGAATGGAATTCATTCCCCTGGAGCCTACAGCTGCCTTTTTCACAGCCCTGAATAGAAAGCAGCCAGGAGCTACTGAGTCCTCTGCTGCGCTGGGCCCTGCGGAGGCCAGAGGCATGCTCACCTGGCTTCTCTGTCCTCATCCTTCCGCCTCTTCTCTCCTCTCCCAGCTAGGGGGCCTTCTCTGTGGTCTCTCTGCACACCTCTCACCCTCATCATGCACCTTTACTTCAGTCTCAGCTAGAGAGAACCTCAGAGCTCCCCTGCCAGCCCCCTACATGGGCAGTGATGGACTCAGAGGGTTAGTGACCACGTCAGGAGGGATCAGGCCTGCTGACCCCCATGCTGCTGTCATCCTGACTGCTCTCGGCTTGTGAGGATGTCTGAGCTCCTTGGCTGGACCTCAAGGTCCTTGCGGGCCCTGGCCACACCGGGCCCTTCCCAATCCACCTACAGCTCACAGCAGGGAGGGGTCCAGAAAACTCTGCTTCCATGAGTGACACCAATAATCCCCAGACTAAGAGATGCCCGTCCCTCCTCCAGAAAAGCTTGGACACACGGGCACAAATATTTCCTGGCCCTTTGCGCAGCCATTACAGGAGGTAATCTTGTGGTTTTATTGCTGCCAGACCCACATCCTGCATATGGTCCAGTGTGAATGTCTAAACCCAGTCTCTGTCTAGGGACAGGTGGCCAGCGATGCACTGAGGTGACAGACAGGCCTGCCATCAGTTTGGTTTGCCTGATAAATTCCACTTGGCTTCCCAGATGTGGGAGAGGGTCTTGGGCTTTCTGGTGCCTCACAGATACAACCTGTGAACCTCAGAGTAGCTGCCCCAGGGCAATCAGCTCCGGCTGAGTCATTGTCTGGCTGTAAGACTTAGTTACTTAATTATCCCGTGCCTCAGTTTCCTCATATTCTGAACGGGGACATAAGCTGCCCTCCAGGGTTATTGTAATGATTAGATATAAGATAAGAGAAGCCTCTAGCATGGGGTCTGGTAAGTAGTGCCACCATTGTCATCACTATCATTCCTCCAAGACAAAAGATCAGAGATTAAATTCTGGTGGCAGTGACAGGAGATTTGTGGGTGGCGGACACATGGTGCAATATACAGATCTTGTCATATAGAAACCCACACCTGAAACCTCTTTGTTCATGTTGACCAATGTCACCCCAATAAATTTAAATAAATAAATAAATAAATAAATAAATAAATTCTGGTGGCCAAAGACCTGGAAGTGAGCCAGTGAAGCCCTAACCAAGGAAAGTACCTCCCTACTCACCTCCCTGCATTACTTTTCTCCATAACACCTCTCACCATGGGCAAATGCTATGTTCACATATTTAAGTTTACAGTCTGCTTCCCCCATTATAATATAAGCCCATGATGGGAGAGATTTTTTCTGATTTGTTAATTACTATATCCCCAAATTCAGGCCCTGGCATGCATATATATGTGTGTAATTTTTAAAATATATATATATTTTATTGATTTCAGAGAGGAAGAGAGAGGAAGATAGAAACATCAGTGATGAGAGAGAATCATTGATCGGCTGCCTCCTGCGTGCCCCCTACTGGGGATCAAGCCTGCAACAAGGACATGTGCCCTTGACCAGAATCAAACCCGGGACCCTTCAGTCCGCAGGCCGACGCTCTATACACTGAGCCAAACTGGCTAGGGCAATGTAATTTTTAAAATTTGGGCCCTGGCATATATTTGTTAAATGAATGAGAAACACACAAATCATTACATCTCTTCGGGGCCTTGGAACTATAAAATACTGCCTCAGTTAAGACTCATTAGCCCCATGGAAAACCAAGCCGTAAGCTCAGGGAAATGATAGGAAAGAAGCCCAGGGGAAGGCAGCTTCCTGTCAATACTTCAGGGGATGGAGAAAACACCACCTTCCAAGTGAGGTCCACCTTGATAGTTCCACCTCCCCATTGCGAAGGGCCTGCCTTTCCTGCAGTGAGGAGGCCCTTCTGGAAGAGCCCCTCTCAGACCGCAAACATCTCCAGGAAGCACGGACTCCCAGCTTTTCTTTCCTTAACCTCTTGGCTGTAAACCCCCACCACCCAGGTTTGGGAAAGGAGCTGGCACTGCAGGTGTGAGCTTGGAGAAGCTGGGGTTCTAGTACCCACTCTGCCACTTTCTAGCAGCAGGATCCTGGGCTAGTCCCATCCCAGGGGGATTCTCAATTTCTTCAGCTGTAACATTGCAGGAGGGTCAAGAGAAAGTGATCTGAAGCCATCCCTTCCAGCTCTGACTCCCTTTCTCTTAGCTGAAGCCCAGGGGCTGTGGGCTGGTTTGTGTTGGCAAACAGCCAGGAGTCCAAATGGGAGCAAGCCGACCCTGCACAGCCCAGATACAACTGAGTCTCCTCTCTCCCCTGCACCTCAGCCCATGCATCCTCTTTGTGGCCACATCAAATACACACGGCACTCTAATCCCTGGGCCTCTGCCCAGAACTCCATCCCACACTCCCCCATGCATCTGGCTGCACATTGTAAAGGTCCCGATCATGTGACCCTCTGTGTCAGGCAGAACCCTGTACCCTTTGAATTAACACCTTGATAGAGCCCCTCCCCCGGCCCATCCCCTGGAGGCCGCTGGCACCATCCTTCTCTCCCCTCTCCCGCTGATGCCCACCTGACTGCTGCTACCTGGCCTTGGGACCCTGGCACTGGGCACACCATAGCTCCTCTCCTCTGGGTCTCAGTGTCCCCACCTGATGTGGTCACCGGGGCATGCTGGGGGCGCTGGGGTCACTTACTGACTGTGACCTTGGGCCCCTTATTTAACCACCCTGTGCCACAGCTTTCTCTTCTACAGAAATGGAGATGGCAATAGGTCCCACCCCTAGGGCCGCCATGGAGGTCAAGGAGCGTGCCTGCGCTCGGCCTGGCACAGAAGTGAGTTCTCAGTAAAGGATCGCAGCCCCGGCTTATTTCGAGCCAAGGTCTCAGGCTCGTGGCAGTGTCCCCTCGGCCGATGCACGCTCCTCTCGGCGCCACAAAGGAGCCCAAGGCAGAGAAGGACACGTGGGCCGAGCCAATCCCAGCCGGGGTCGCCCCCGCGGGCGTGTGGGGGTGCGGGGGATGCGGGAGATGCTCTGGTCCCCTGCCCGCCCCCGCCCCGGCCTCGCAGCGCCGCGGACTCACGGCCGTCGGTCTTCCAGGGCAGGTGCTTCATCCATTGCCCCCGCTTTGCAGCCCCGCGGCTTGGCCCCGCGCCAGACCACCCAGACGCGGAATTTCCGGAAACCCGGCGGGAAAGGCCCGGGAGAGGGAAAGGGGCCCGCAAACCGGGGGCTGGGGAGCATCCAGGTGCCTGGCGGGCAGCCCCTCTCCCTTTGACCCCCCCTCTCCCCCCCGCGCCTCGGGCCCTTGGGGGATGATGTGAGCTCGGCTCTGCGGCCTCTCCCCCCCCCCCCCCTTGCCCATCCCTCGCCCCCCATCCCAGACCAGCTGCAGTTCCTCCTGCGGCTCCCTGGACCTGGCCCACCACGCGTGTCGGGAGGGGAGGGCCGCTCTGGCTCCCCAGGTCCCCCTTGGCGTGTCTCCTTCCTCCCCTCCCCCTGCCCCCCGGAGCTGTCCCAGCCTGCACGCCCCAGGTGTGTGCAAGGCCTCCGGCAGGCCCCATCCTCGGGGACTGGGCAGGCTCTTAAGGCACAGAAGCCCCGGCAAGCGTATGAGAAGATGGCCAGATTCATTCATGATCCGAAACACACAAGTTCAAACGAGAATGAGATTTCACTTGCGCCAGTTAGACCAGCAAACATGGGAAAGCTGGATAGTGCCCAACGGTGGGGAGTGAGGAGCTGTCCCAGCCAAATCACTGCTGCTGCGAGCAGCCTGGGGCCACCGTTCTCAGAAAGTCTGGCAACAGTGAGGGGGAGTATGCACAGCGAACGGTGACTCTAAAATCCAGCTCCTTCTTCTCTTCACCTGTAAGGCCCGCGGCTGGAGGGAGGGTCTGCCAGTGGTTCCGCCTGGTGGTCCCTGGTGGCAGCAGTGACCTCTCTCCCAGGTCCCTGAAGAGGAGGTGAGGCCCCAGCAGGGGTGGCAGGTTTCTCCACAAGATGCCACCCCCCCCCCCAAAGGCTTTTCATTGTTCTTACTTCATATCTTGAGAAATTAGAGGGTTGTTTTTTTGTTTTTCTTTTGTTGTTTAACAAAATAGAACCGACTTGTGTTTTGCACTCTGCCTAGTTGATTTCATGCTGCTTTGCTACTTGAGTGGCATTCTCTTGGAAAGGTGGCATCCCAGGCCCAGCCCCTACCTGCTGAATCAGAACCTGCATTTATTTATTTTTAATGTATTTTTATTAATCTCAGAGAGGAAGGGAGAGAGAGAGAGAGAGAGAGAGAGAGAGAGAGAGAGAGAGAGAGAGAGAATCAGTGATCGGCTGCCTCCTGCATGCCCCACACTGGGGATGGAGCCTGCAACCCAGGCATGAGCCCTGACCGGGAATTGAACGGTGATCTCCTGGTTTATAGGTCGACCCTCAACCACTGAGCCACACGGGTTTCAACAAGATCCCTGGTGATTTCTGTTTACATTAAAGTAGGAGAAGCACTTCTCTAGGCTGTCCATCCCAGTCCATTTTTTTACAGGCTTTTATTTCGGTATCTTCCATAAGCAGATCTAGCCTCTCGCACTGTCATTTATTGAGCACCAGCTGTGAAGCAGCCACTGTGTCAGTACCCTATCAGCATTATCTCATGCACTCTTCTCTCTTCCCCAACCCCCTCCCTGTGAGGTGAATGCTGTTACCAGCCTCTTTTTCTGGGAAAACTGCCACTCACAGTCACAAGACCTGAGGAGCCTCAGGCCCGAGGTCCCACAGCCAGTAAGTGGCCAATTCAAACACAGCACATAAGCTACACAACTGCTCTCACTGAGGGCCAGGCTGGGATGCCTGCTTCTGCGCACCCCCTGCAGGAAGATGGGCACATGCCAGTGTCAGGACACGGTCCGTGACGGTCCTGTCACCTGACAGTGGTGGGAACCTTCCCCTCAGAGGCCCAGGGCCACTCCCTGAGAGTCGGGGTCTCTGCTCAGGGCTGCAGTGCATTCTGCTTGCTCTCCCTTCTAGATACCCTGGTTCTGGGCATCACAAATTGGGGTGCCCATACCCTGGGGGTACACAGTCGTGGACAACAGGCACAGGAAACCACAGTTAAAACCTCAATTTTACATGATGCCCGAGGCAGAGTGGAAAAGTTGCATTTTTTATATGTATTTTTCTTACTGATTTCAGAGAAGAAGGGAGAAGGAGAGATAGAAACATCAATGATGAGAGATAACTATCCATCAGCTGCCTCCTGCACGCCCCTACTGGGGATCGAGCTCGCAACCTGGGCATGTGCCCTGACCAGAATCGAGCCCGGGACCCTTCAGTCCGCAGACCGACACTCTATCCACTGCACCAAACAGGCTAGGGCGAAAGTTGCATTTTTATTAGAACAATCATGTTGTTGTTGTTGTTGTTGTTTTTACATACTGCATTCTCCCATTTACCACAAGAACAAACTGATAATAAAGATTATTTAAAAGAAATGCTGGACTCTAAAAAGGGTGGTGGCAGCAACACTTCCCACTGCAGGATCACCGCCCACTTTCTCCAGTTAACATTGCTGTTCTTCCATGATGCAGGTTCACGTGGAAAAACTTGTCAGCTTTTGGTCAGGGCCAGGAGATGAAATAGAGAGCATGTCCTAATTAGCTAATGTAAGCTCTTAGGGTGGGCCCATACAACATGGCCATTGTTTTGTTAAGCATCTGCAACCTGCAGAATTCCTTAGCCCTGAGCTATGGTTTCTGCTCAGTATCTTAAAGCTGAGCTCAGACCCATCTGACTGCTCCTCCGGGCTGAGGTAGGTGCTAGTCATCAAAGTCTGGAATGTCATCATAGGAGTAACCCCGGGAGCCTTTGGATGCACAGTAAGCAATGCGCAGGTGGTAAAACCCCGGTAGGAACACCGGGGTGCCAATGATCAGAACAGGAATGGCCTGGTCTTCTCCCCCTTTGTGGATATAGCAGGAGGGAGCCTATCAAAAACAGTACCTGGCAAGCGCAATGGCCTTACATGGAATCTTAGAGGGCTTTTCTTAAGCTGGAGGTCAACGTGGCCATCCTCTGTGCTGGAGAGTCTTAGGTATTTCACTTTCCTACTGGGGATTCCAGTAGCCAGGTTGGTACGAGATGGCATCATAACACACTGACACAGCCACAGTCCCTTACCGGAGCGCCGTGCCAAACCATCCGCACGCCGACAGCCCGCTCACCACTGGAAACAGAGATGCTCATGATGTGAAGGAAAACCCCTATTCTGTAAAACTACTGTTTGGAATTCTCTGCTATTCTTTGGACGGCCTCTTATTCTGAAAAAGTAACTTTGCTTTCTAGCCTGCTTGAATATGGGGGAGATAAACTTAGCTGTCTGACCTTGTAGGCCAGAGACTAGATACAACCAATGCCATGCCAGGTGCATTTTTTAATTGGATAGAACTGTATAGTTTTCAAGGCCGCCGCCAGCAAGCACACAAAGGGCTGGCTCTTCTATAAAAAGGGAAGTTCTGCTTGTAGCTTTGCTTAGAATTTGGATTCATTTCCCTAAGCCCGCCGCGGTGAATAAAGTGTAACTCCAAACTCTCAGAGCGCTGTTTGGTTCTTGTCCGGTTTTCCTGTAACAATGACACGCCTCACCTGACTGCCACCTGCCCCACCCCGCCCAGACTGGATCAAAAACAACCATGGTTTTACGGGTAAGAGTAGAGATACACTACCCCGTGGGTCACCTGGACAAGGCCACAGAACTTTGGGTGTTCCCACTGCTCTACCCCTGGGAGTATTGGGAAGGAAATATTTGGCTGTGCCCTTTTCCTGTCCCTGCCAGGATGCAGAGCCCATTTCACCATGCATCTCCAGCCCTCACCACACACACACACACACACACACACACACACACACACGCCATCTCCATGTCTTTCCAAAGCAAGTAGGACCCAGCTTCACATATATGCTGCCTCCACCCCTTTGGCATCAGGGACTGTGGAGCTGAGGGACAAGAACACGTAATTCAGAGACCACCAGGTTTGACATGGATGGACAGAGGGCCTGAGAGCACAGTGCTGGGGCTTGGGGTAGGGGTGAGGGGGTGGCTCAGGGCGGGTGTGAGTCTGTGTGACAGAGGGAAGTGATTGACCTGAACACTGATCAGGAATAAGGAGGAAATATGAAGTTGAGGGAAACAGGTGAAAAACTTGCTTTGACTGTGGAAAAATAAAGCCAATTACTGTCATGTTTGAGCTCTACATAGTAACTTTGTAGCTTAGTAATGCATATGATTTCAAACGCCTTTTATGTTAATCCTCAGGGAGGGGAAAAACAATAAAATTAAACTTGCAAAAGTTCCTCCAGCAGAACGGCATTTCCTCTGCCTGCCTCAGGGCCTGTGCACTTGCTGCTCTGTTTTGCTTGGAGCAGCTCTTACCCACCCCTTTCCATGGCTGGCTCCTTGTCATTTTCCAGGACTTGCCTAAGTGTCACCCTCCCAGTGCAATGGTGCCACCCCTATCCTCACTGTCCCTCTCACAGCAGCCTTCTCCTCCCAGGCACAGTCACAATGTGTAATTCTGTGGCACTAACAACACTGGGTTCACCAGCTCCCACTCAGAACGCACTGCCCTGTCATTTCATACTCAAAAGAAGCCCTAGTCTGGTGCCATTACGATAGATTTGCCTCATCCATTTACCATTTGGTATTTTTTATTGATTTCAGAGAGGAAAGGAGAGGGAGAGAGAGAGAGAAACATCAATGATGAGAGAATCACTGATTGGCTGCCTCCTGCACACCCCCTACTGGGGCTCGAACCTGCAATCTGGACATGTGCCCTTGACTGGAATCAAACCCGGGACCCTTCAGTCCACAAGCTGACAATCTAGTCACTGAGCCATTTGGTATTTTTTACCAATGCAGAGCTCTGGGGTCTATTCTTACAGATGGATTTCTGGGTCAAAGGGTAAGTGCACAAAAGATTTTACTAGCTGTTGCCAAATCCCCTCCACATGTTCTATACTATTTTCAACCCCCATCAGCAAGCAGTGTCTGAGAGAGCCTATTTCTCTCAGATTTTCCAACAGAATACACTCTCAAACTTGGAATTTTGCCAATCTGATAGGTAAG